GATTTTTTTATTAAATATATTTGTGACTCTTTGAGTAAACTGTTTCGCCACTTAATTTATGAATCTTTAAGTAGGAAATATTATATTATATTCGTGTAGACTTAAAGATTTTGTTTGGAATATATAAAATATTTATATAAAAGAAAATAATACTAATTCGTGTGTTATACTGTTGCCATGACTAGCACTGTGCTCTGGTCTTCAAGCGCCTGATTCGTTGTGAAATTCATTAATCTGGTTTAGAAATACAATACAGGATAGAAATACTTTTGATGTAAAAAAATGTCGATCATAAAAATAATGTTTTGAAACACTTTTAGACCAAATGTGTCGATGTTTTTATATAAACTTTACGCAAAGAATGTACACAAATATTTAAAATAATGCTTATACTTATAAGCATTATAAACATATGAACACATATATGTTATGTGTTATATGAAAGTTGAGTAAACTTCTAAAATTTTATTAAACTTGATGAGTTTGATTTTTATCATAGAATATTCCAAAACTTTGAACAAGGTGTGGCGTGCAAGTTAAATTGTAAAATTGGTTAATCTCAGAATTTCATTTAAAATGATTATTATCGCCTCTCTTATATATAATCTTCACACAACGGACTTTGCAATAGAAGAATGAACGGAGTATCCCTTTCCTTGATGATACTTGTGTGCTAGTATCATTACTTAAAAGTACTTATTTACTAAATAGTAATGATTTACTATTTGGTAATGAAAGTTTCCACATTTTTTTAGAAATGCATTCCTAAAAAACTTTTCAAAACTTCAAAATATTCTGCTATAAGTAAAAAATAAACATTTTCGTTAATATATTTAAAATTTCATCGTATACTAGTAAATGATTTAAATATCTAACCACGCACACAAGTGCTTAAAGTCACTAACTCACTAAACAAATCAAAGAGAGAGAATACTAAATTACAGAGCTTTAACGAGAAAAATTACTTCAATTAATATAAAAAAGATCTGTAGTAAAGAAGCGTTCTGCATCAAATTACAGTACTATTTGTGTTACATTTTTGAATAGGGCACATATAACGAAAGGACAACTACTTTTCAAAAGTAACCCAATACCCGCGCTTGTTCTATAACCACACCCCTTTACCTACTCCAAATCTACGTACACTACGACCATGCTTCCTGGCATAGATAAACCAAAACTGCTAGGTATTAAGCTTTTCGATCACGTCTCCCTCTCTCCTGATTACTGGAATGAAGTTTTCACTTTACTGTGAACAAATCTTCTCCATTTCTTCCTAAGATGTGCATTTAGTGGGTTCAAGTCTCACACTGTGGCTTTCGATTGCTTTCCACTTACTGCAAGAAACAAAGAGAAAAAGTAGTCATTCAATGACAACCTACAACAGAATCAATCCGAACAAATATGTATAGGATTTATCATTTCAGAAAATCAACATAGCATCATAGGCTGAAATATGTAACGTTGCATAGAAAGAGAGCAACAAACAGAAATTTTGTTGGTAACATATGTATATATTATTATCAATAATATTTTTTTTATGCTCTTCACCCAAAAAAGAATTAAAGAGTGTATTAGATTTGTCAAAATTATTGCATCGTATTGAAGAAAATGCCGTAGACCCTTCAAAATGTATACATTTCACGATCTGAGTTTATTTACTCATGGCCGTCTGATTTTTGACCCATCTCTCCGACTGTCTGTTCCATTTCAAACGATTTTCTCATTTTTCGAGCTATTTCAATTAAAGTTATATTAATTCATTTAAACATATTTTTCCGGAGCGAACTCATTTGTTGGATTGACCATCTTCGGGTCACTATATTGCTGATATATAATGTTATTTAAATGAAATTTGATACAGAATGTATACAAGAGAATAAATATACTGTTATTCATTTAATTTCAGATTTAGATATAGCTGCCATATAAACTGAAAAAGACTATATATATAAAACCAAAGCTATATATTGTAATATGCTACGATCGAATAAATTATTAAAACTGAAGCAAGTTTATACATCGAGATGGAACAATAGGTAATTTTTGATTCAGCAGAATAATTCCACAAACAACCACCTCAAAAACTTCTTCAACTTTAATATCGAGCGATATATAAATTTATTACTATTATAGTACTTATTAGGGATCTTAAATATTATATTAAATACGTATTATTATGAATTATATTATTTATTTATTTTTATATAAATGGACGTCAATGGAGATTCACAATCCCGTATAAAGCATACCTAAGCTTTGACGAAGCTAAAGCTATCATTCTTCTTATTATTTTGTATAAAAGTTGTGAAGCAATTTATAAAAATAATTAAATTTTAAAATATACTAAACAATTCCAGTGATAAGAAAAAGAGTTGTGAAGCTGAGTAAACTTTTTTTCGATCCCCCCTTATGGCTCTTGCAACACTACGCATAAATTGGATTCCTAATAATAAAATTTGTGACTTGATTTTTTATTTAAAAATGTCGATGACTATCATATGAAACTAAACTAAATTGTATTGAAATGTATGTCAACTGAAAGTCAATAAAATTTATAAAATATACGATAAAAAAATGAGAACAAATTTAGAGAATTTCAAAGCATATGGGACCCCGCAACCAACTTTAAGTGACACTCGAACCACTTGGCACCGGTTGCGCAAAGGCAATATAATGTATCCTTGCGATGGCACTGGTGCTTCTAAGCAGGAATAGAAAAAAATCAAGTTGAGTTACGCATAAAACGAATGCTAACAGCATTTAAAACGAAACTACTGCACCAATTCGTATGCAAATGGAATGTAGAAATAAAAGTTTAACATTTTCCAAGCAAGTTAGGGGGTAAGGGGGAGCAAATCGTTAAAAAATACTGCAGTTTTTACCCTACACAAACGACACCCTTTGACATAATTTTGATACAAAATAAAATGTTTGTTTTTACGACGTGGGTTTGAAATTTATCACTTGAGGGACCAAGGATACTCAAATTGAGTTGCGACTTTTACATGCAGCAAAAACTCAAAAAGTCATAGGGAAAAGGAAGAAGGACGTGCTCCTTAAAGGAAAATGTTTCAAGCATTTAATAACTGAAATTTCATAAATTTTTGATTCATTTAAGAAAAACATAATTATAAAAAATTACAAACAATCGAGAATATAGAACGGAATTTTATAAGCAACCACGTTTTTAAATTAATTCCACTTTTTCAATAAAGTTTTTTCCTGAAAACTTTTAAATTCAGTTGTGTAGTATCAAGTTGCAAACTTTATTACTAATTGATATTGTGTGTAGCAGCTGCCACCAACTTTTCCTGCAGCATCTTTATTTTTTGCTGGCAAAAAGTAGTAAAAGTAATAACATCAAGGACGACTATGGAACGGAAATAGTTGCTTATAATGCACTCTGATGATTTTTCGAATACTTAAAGAACAAAACATAAATGGAGGGGAGGTGGCCAAAGTGAAACATATTGACTTTAACTTCGATTTTTTGTTTATGAGTTTCACTTTTGTTTTGGGAATTTCTGCATTTTAGGTATTTATGTATTGCAGCTGCAAAAATAAAATTTTCCTTTATTAAGAAAATTTCTGCAAACTCAGAAAATACATCGTTTAGTAAAATATAAAAAAAATATATAATGCAAGTATTCAGGAAAACAGAATGAGCAATGCATTTAACTACCCTTTGCAGGTGTCGTTTGCATTATTGCCAATATTATTTAAATTAGAGATGAAGTAAATGGTTACTTTAAGGGGTTTTCAAATTAATACCCTAACTATATGTAGACATTCTCAGTTAATGCACAAAGGCAAATCAAAGGTATCTAGATTAATATCTGTCTTAACAAGGCAATAGACCATAGAACGACATGGAGCTTAGCTCGACATGGATCTCTATGAAAGAATACCAGAACACTTATTTTGGCTATGTCCAAGCTTGGCCGGAATTAGGATAAGTTTCTGGAGGCCGCTTTCTACAACACACTCGACGACATCTCCTGCATTAGCATTTGCCAGATTTTTGCCTTTATAAATGCCTCTGTTTCTTGAGTAATAGGCAATACAATGAAATAATATTGCTAATGAACTAATAGGAGAAAGATCAAAGCAACATCAGAGTGCCAAATTAAAAGGTACTATATTTAACGAGTCTAAAATCATTTACCAAGATTACCAAAGCCTAGGGATATGAAAAAATTGCAAAAGTACATGGCGCCAATCCTATTTATAAGTAATAAAAATTCTATTGAGCAGGGCTGGGCAGACTAAAAATTGTAATGGTGCTTATATAGTCTATTAGTCAGTAGGCAGTCATACAAGAATAAGAGAAAAAGAAACACTTAAAAACATTATATTCGAAAGCGCAGAACTGGCGAGATTAAAATATATCACTTGGATATGCATAAACTAATTAACATTAAAGTTATTTCCAATATAAATTTTCAAAAAATAATTATCCAGTGATAACAAACTTCATGATCTTGCTGACCAAATCACATCACCAAATTAAACGTCCGAGAAAAAAGACGTGTTGTATGAAGTGGAACCATCTTATTGAAACCACATATCTTTCTCATTTATTAATGAGACAATTTAACACCAAAAACAATCATGTAACTCTGTCTGTAGTGATCACATTGTTGCAATTGACTTGATTGTCTCACCCTCAATCGCTTTCGAATAAGTCGGGTTTTACAATACCTCAAAAATAAATGTGCAACCATGCAGAAGAATAGTGGTTTTTCACTGCTGCTGTTGCTCAAAGTCAGACCCTCCAAAGGCTCTTCAAAGTGCCATGGTACATCCACACGGATGACATGCTAAGAGACCTTAGAATAGATCCGGTCAAAAAAAATGGGTGAGACTCTACAGAAACCACCTAGCCACCCCCCAGTAAAAGTGCCCAGATGCACTAACTCGGAAAAGGCTCTACATAAGATGTAACAATTTGGTTTGTTGAAATAGCAAAATATGTTCGGCATCACGGAAGATTTTCGATGCGAAATACACCTGTTATCGCCATTACTATAGTAAGTTTTCAAGTGTTAATCAATAAAACTAAAATGACAGTTTTTAACACTGTTTTGGAGAGTACTTATTTTTTGTTTTATTTTTAATATTTTTAGTTTGATTCTGCAACACAATTCAAATAAACACGGCACCTCTAGAATTGTCTGAAGATTAATCATGAGAAACTAAAATTACAGAACATCATTACGTCTCGATAGATTTTTAATGAAATCTGATAAAATCTTGAACAATTAAGCTATAAGGTGTAAAAACTTTTTGTAAAGTGCTTAAAATTCAGTTCCTATTTCATTTAATCTAAAAACTATTTTTAAACACATGACGAATGAAGTCGTTTTTATACGATTTTTTAATACGTCGAATTACATTTTAAAACTTTTTTCGATTTTCGAGTTTAGTTTTCATTCTGTAAACATTTCCACAATTGAAAAAGCAATTATCCATGAAGCAATCGTATTTTCAGATATGAAGCAAGTAAACTTAGTCAACCAAAATCAGTAAAATTCAGCAGAAAAACGGATTACCAAAGTGGGATTGTTAGGTTCCATCAGAAAAAACTGCGAAGTCCAATTAAAAGTGAAAACCTTTGGAGCGGTCGTGTTAGCAAAGTTGCAACATCAAATCCAATTGCAACGAATTAAGCGAACTATCAGCACAAATCCGTATACTTCTCTTCCAGAGTTGGGAAAATAAGAATAAAAAATAGATAGACGAATTAAAACACTCAACAAATTGAACGCCAGTAACTAAATTGAAGTAGTCGAGACGAAAAAATTGTCTATTCTGACGGAAAAATCGAAAACAAAATGTAAGTGATGGCAATGGAAGATATCACATTCGGACGAGTAGAGAAGATACATGCCGCATTGCAACTTATGATGCCAATAATTTTAAAGTTTTTTACTGGTCTATTTGGAAGAGAAGAGATTCAAATGTTGGTAATGTTCAACAATTAAAGTAACGTGTTTTTTTATTTTTAGTTTAAAAATAGTACAAAAAAAAAGTATCAAAAAAACTGTTAAAATAAAATTTAAAAAAAGAACTAATAAAAAAAGTGTAGAGAATCATATAATTATAAGACTATCCAGTTAATTATGAAAGATTTGGCATTATGTATACTCTATTAAAATAGTGTTTAAAAAAATTTAACAAATCAACAATACGAAGATTGCTATGCTAATGTTACTCTATGAAAATGGAAATTGAATATATTTTTTTTTTATATTATTTCCATTATAATTCTGTATTAAAAATGTTTTTTATTTTATTTTTATTATTTTACCAATTTTATTTACTAATTTTAGCCTAAATTATTCCGATTTTCAAAATAATTATGTATTTATTATAGAATAGTTATTATTTATTAAATTTGATTTTAACGTTAATAAGAAAATAACAAAAAAAAATTTTTGTTGTTCTTGTTCACTATTTTTCGAAACCTCTCTATTAAATACCACAGTTTCTATTTAAGTAAAAATAATCACTACGGTCAGTCATATTGAACGTTAAAATCGAATTTAATAAATAATAATTATACTATAATAAATATATAATATAAATAAAGTTATAAATATAACTAAAATTAATTAATAAATTTGCTAAAAGAATTAAAATTAAAACAATTTAATAATTAAATATAAGAAACCTCAACATTTTTGCATATATATATAAATAAAACTTAACATTAATTTTTGACCAATGATATTCTCGAAATGCAAACGAAGGAGGAACATTACATATTCAGGCAATATTAAAATAAATGCTTTGAAGTCAAAAGTACCCAGCAGCATTTTAAACAGATTTTCAAATAAAAACTTAGAACGGTTGCTCCAACATCATTTCTTAATATTGAATATTTACAAAAAACAATATAGATTTAAAATATTATATATTATACAATAAAAATATTATACATCCCTATTCAGTTCATTATTTAAGTTATTATAAGAGTTGGCAGCAATTTTGTATACATATATATCCATATATAGACATACGTATATCAAAAAATGGTGATTTTGACTGACCTTCGCGTTCGACAGATTTGGCACCACTAAATTTTTTCCTTCAGGGATACTTCAAAACAAAGGTGTTTATCAAAAAGCCAAGTTCGTTAGACGTACTTAAAGGCAACATTCAATAAATTGGACCACCTAATGTTGCCATCTCTGTGTATATATGGTACATTTGTAACATAGATCTAGAAAGTATTTTATCATTTGTGTCATTTTCAAGATATCTATTTAAATAAACGTTTTGTTGAAATATTGATTTTTGCTGTTTCTGAAATTTGCAAAGCTTCTTTAATGTTTCTAGCGTGACATTATAAAATATGTACGACTATATAAAACCAAAAATTTTCCAAAATTATTTACTTTTTTATCTTTGAATTAAAAGGTTTACTACACATATAAAGGTTGGAAGCTATAAAACAGCTAATCACGACATGAAAGCTGGAGTTTCTCAAAGAAGTGTTCTTGGTCCGATACTTTACATTCCGTTTACTTCGGATATACCTAACAACTCTCGTCTTGTCACTTCTACGTTTACTGATGACACTATCAAAATAGTTTTATAGCATCTAGAGACTTACTTGAACGCCTCGAACTCATTGTAATTTGGTTAGCCAACTAGCGCATTCGCATAAGCAAAAGTGAAAGCACGCATGTAACGTTTACACTGTGACAAATGTCCCTCAGTTATCTTCAATGGCTTCACCATTCCACAATTAAACGCCATATCGTATCTGGATAGGAAACTAACTTGTGTAAACATCTTAAGGCTAAGCGAACTCAAATAAAGCTAAAGGCACAAAAAGTTCACTGGTGATTGAACAAAAACTCCAAGTTAGGGCTAAACCACTAAGCGTTACTCTATAATAGTTTACTTAAGCCAATTTGTAAGTATGGCGCTGAATTCATTTTCTGTGCACTTATAAAATATCCGACATTATTTCATACCTAAATCATAAAAATTTATTTCTTTATAACTCTGTTAAAGGTTCTAGAGGAAGCTCCAATCATGTGGCAGTATTTATTTATAATTTTAGTTCAATATAGAAATTATTTTAAGTGTCAGCAACTAATATACAATGTCAGCACTAATTCTATTGCAAATTATAATAATCACACAATGATTGCTCAAAAAGGTTTGCTGTGTCAATTACACGTTTGGCTTCTCAATTACGGTTAAATAAAACCTGGACTTAATAATTCATAATTGAAAATAATAGAGAATATAACTATAAAATGTTCCGCATATGACGTTTGTTGCTACAGTAAAGCTAAAATCCTTTCACACCGGAATAAAAACAGCGGATAAACCCAGAGCGAAAGGAAGCAAGGATAATCAATTTTGTTAAATTCGTTTAGTCAAAAACATGAAAGGATTTATTTTCCTCCTGTACATCTGCTTGTGCATCAATTTATCAGCAACAAATGGGAACGATTTGCGAGTTGCCAACGACTCCAGCAATCTCTCAGTGTCCAGTTCAATGAGACGAGTGAATTTATTTATCGCGTATTTTCACTTTCACGGTGTTCACAGTGTGCATCTGGTCATTTGTCATGATGACACGAGTGAGTTTCGGATAAGGAAGTGAACAATTCTGCAATATCAAATTAAATTTATTGTGTTAATTTTCAGGAGAAGAGAAACGTGAAATTCAGACGATTCTTGGCAGCTTATTGGATGAAGGTTTCTATGTGCGCACCTACAATGGTCGCGACTACAATGATGAAGTTATAACTGCTCGATTATTTGAACCGCCAATAACTTTTCGTAGCGACAATAAAACTAAACGTCCAATAAATTTTAAACTAGAATCCTTAGCCTTCAAAACTGGTTATATTCTAATTGATTTTGCCACATCCTGTGCATTAAATGTTTTGTCCTGGTCAGCTGCAAGTGAGCAAAATTATTTCACAACAAATCGCTTCTGGTTGTTATTGACAGAGAGGAAGGAAGATATACAATTGTTAAATGATGAAGATATTTTCATACCGCCTGATGCAGAAGTCCGCATTTTGGTACAACACAATAATTCAAATCATTTTAATCTCATTGATGTGTACAAAAGTGCTAAGGAACAACCGATTCATGAACACAATGTAGGGAATAAGCTTAGTTCTGCAGAAGATATGCTGCGGGCTTTACGAAAATTTGGATCTGCCATAACACACCGTCAAAATCTGGGTGGCATCACCTTTAAAACTGGTTTAGTCATAGCATTTCCAGATATGTTTACACACATTGAGGATTTATCACTGCGACACATTGATACCATATCAAAAGTCAATAATCGTCTAACAATTGAACTCGCCAACAAACTGAATATGAGGTGGTGTGTCCAAACAAATCTTTCAAATCTGAAATTTTTATTTTATGTGTTTGTCACTCCCTACTTTTAGTTTCAACACCCATCAAACTGATAATTACGGTTGGCATCAATCAGACAATTCCTTTGATGGTTTAATGGGTCGCTTTCAGCGCTATGAGTTAGATTTTGCACAGAATGCCATTTTCATGCGCCTGGATCGCATTGCGTTAGTGGACTTTGTAGCTGAAACATTTAGGATACGCGCAGGTATTATGTTCCGTCAACCGCCTTTGTCAGCCGTGAAAAATATATTCGCTCTGCCATTTGAAATTGATGTCTGGATATCGATTTTTATGTTGATGGTATTTGTAGCTTTTGTTTTGGCCATGGAGTTAATGTTCTCACCGTACGTTCACGATATGGACTATGGAGACTGTGTGGTTTTTGTATGGGGCGCTATGTGTCAACAAAGTTTCTATGTAAACTTAGGGAATCGTTCAGCACGGGTTATTATATTTACTACATTTGTGGCCACTGTGTTTCTGTTCACGTCTTTTTCTGCCAATATTGTTGCTCTACTACAAAGTCCATCGGAAGCTATACACACGCTAAGCGATTTAAGTCAGTCACCTTTGGAGATTGGTGTGCAAGATACAGTCTATAATAAAATTTATTTTAATGTAAGTATACACATAACTTTTTCTTTAGACTTTTTTATGAATGTTACTCGGATTCACCCAGGCTTATAAGTACAATATGCAGAGTTATAGTCAGAATCAATGTCTTGTACACTAACCTCAATGGAACTTCTAGATGAAAGAAAACACTCAAATCGACAGTTCGATACCGTACTTATTAGCCAAATCAAAGATACTTCTTTGTATTACACATATTACACATTACTTAATTAAAGTATAAAGTAAGCTAATTAGCTGATGATGATATTCATAGTCTTTATTCATATAAAGACGATCTTGTATATATGCACACAAAAACTTTTTCCACACCTTGTAATTTGGAATTTATGTGATGTGAATTATATAATAAATAATTAAGTATTTATGTGTTAATTTATTACATATTTATTTATTTATTACATAACATACCTATATATTATATGTTCTGTTCAGTAGCGAGGCGTCAGCTTTTTGGCAAGGTGTTCACAATTTAATCAAAACAGAATTCCAACTATAACGTATTCCCCCTACTTCTAAGTTTTGTCCTTTCCACAAGCAAATAGCGTACAAGACCAATAAAACAATTTATTTAAATGTTCGCAGCCTGTGATCCACTGGTTTTTATTTACCATAAAGCTATAGCTGTAGGAAAACGACGACTTACCATAGATTTCGACATTTTTACAACAGGTATCAAATTCTTCATATCTGGAGTTGGTTTATTCATTTTATGAATTAAAATCTTTTTTCAGAAGATCGTTTAAAAAAAGATATTTGAATCAAATCTTTAATCACACATTAATTCATTTCTAAATATTATTTTTCACTTCAAATTTCTTTAATTTTTTTCTTTACTTTTACCATTTGCTAGTATTAAATTGCAATAATGACTTTGTTATTGATTTATTTCCAACCTCTATATAAGAGTAAGAAACTCTCATGCATTCATTTACTCTTTTACTTTGTATTTACAATGCCCGGTTCAGTTTTTATACTGAACCATTTCCCCATATAAAACAGCAACCGTGACTTTGATTGTATTTGCACGCTTTGTATAAACTTTTGGTTCAGTTTAGTGGAATGATCCTCTCGTCAAATGTAAAGCGATTTTCGCTCAGTTATTTCTTTTCTCTTTTGTATTTACTTTGCATAACATTGGAAGTGCACTTTTTTTATTGAACTGCTTGCACGCATTAAATTAAGAGTTAAGATTATTTTACGTACATATATTTGTTTGTATGTTTTGTGTTGTGTATTCAATATTGAACATAGTCCCAATGTGAATGTTATTTCATTTGCATGCTTTGTAAGCAACGCGGTGCAGTTTTAATTTTGAACCTTAGTATATTTTAAGAGGAATGTGTTTTCTCTTTTATTAATTGTAAGTAATGTTGGGTGTAACTAACACATGTGTGATTTTGTTTGTATTCTACGTTTTGTGTTTATGTTAATCTGTTTGGAAAAGCTATTATAAAAAATTTTAAGTAGCAATATAGCGAGATTATTTACCTAATAAAAAAAAATCTAAAAAGGAAGCTTTGTTAAGGTGTTCAGTGAACACTCTGAACCATTCGACGCCTTGCCTCTGGTTCTGTTGTATACCTTATATGTCTCTATAATTTTTAATTTACCTATATAATTTTTTGAATTTTTTTAACTTACAGGAATCAACTGACCCCATAACTAATCGATTATATCACAAAAAAATCGCACCAAAAGGCGAGAATATTTACATGCGTCCACTTATTGGTATGGAGAAGATGCGTACCGGCTTATTCGCCTATCAAGTAGAGCTACAGGCGGGGTATCAGATAATAAGTGATACATTTAGCGAACCAGAGAAATGTGGTCTCAAAGAATTAGAACCTTTTCAACTACCCATGATTGCCATTCCGACACGAAAAAATTTCCCCTACAAAGAACTTTTTCGCAGACAGTAAATTTCTTCCATAAAACAGTTCCTTTCTATTGTTTTCCTGAACTATTATTTTTGTTTTTTTATTGTTCTAGATTGCGCTGGCAACGTGAAGTTGGTCTTATGAATCGTGAAGAACTTAAGTGGTTTCCACAAAAACCAAAATGTGAAGGTGGAGTTGGTGGCTTTGTTTCCATTGGTATTACAGAATGTCGCTATGCTTTAGGAATGTTTGGCTTCGGGTTTTTCCTGGGTTTATTTGTCTTTTTCTTTGAAGTCATTTTTAAACGCGTAAGGATTAATTGGATTAAAATTTTTTTAAAGAAAAAATTGAAAAGGACCGTCTACTAAAAATATGTAAACCATAAGTTGAATATTATTTATTATAAACGAAGAGTCTTTAAAATTAAAATTACACTAATTAGTAATAGATAAATATTTTATATAAGGATATAAGTCTCAAGCATCAATAAATTTAGTGATTGATATTGTGACATAATTGCACAAAGAACTTAAGTGTTTTCTTGCATTGTTTGTTTTTAAGGACATATTATTTTAAATAATATAAAACTAAAATTACTCTTATTAAGACATTAATTTGACAGCTCCTCTGCTATGAAGTTAGGATCTATATCACAGTTCCGTAATTCAAAAAAACTTATTGATATCGAACTGCTACAACGAACGACTAACTTTGCATTTGAGGTCATTGCATCTGATACTCCCAGGCTTTCGGACATGGCTTTTCCTTTCAGAATTTTAGTTTGAAATAGTCGGTACTTAAAACAAAAAATTACATCCTATATTGATTATCGTGGTCTCTTCTTTGAGCAAGGATAATGTTATCTCGACTATGTTATTGATGGGAAAAATGGTCTGACTTTGGTTGTATACATTGTGACCGAAAAGTTTCCGGAAAATTTTAAATAAAACGCAAAATTCTTAATCTTCATCAATATTTATTTTATCTCCTTCAAAATATGCTCCATTAGAAGCGATACACAAATGCCAACGTTTCTTCCAATCATCAAAACATTTTTTATAGGCGCTTTCCGGTATGGCTTTGAGTTCCCTCTGCGAATTCTGTTTTACGTCTTCTATGGATTCAAAACGCGTTCCTCTGAGTGGTAATTTGAGGTTGGGAAACAGGAAAAAGTCACACGGTGCAAGATCAGGTGAATACGGTGGCTGTTCGATGGTATTTATTGAATGTTTGGCCTTAAAATCGTTGATAATGTTGAACAAATTGAGGTGAATCGGAACAAGCCGGGCGTTGACACGTCGCATACACAAATTGTCCACCAAAATCAAACGAGCCATCTCACGACCGATGCCTAGCTCTCGTGCTATCTCTCTAACACTCACATGAGGATTTTTGAACACGATTTCCTTTGCCTTTTCAATGTTTTCGTCGGTGGTAGAGGTCGAAGGTCGTCCAGAACGCGGCATGTCTTCGACGGTCGTACGACAGTCCTGAAAGGCTTTGTACCACTCATAAACTTGAGTTTTCGATAAAACTGATTCCCCATAAGCCTTTTGTAGCATTCGCAACGATTCTGCACACGAAATTTCGTTCGAAAAACAAAATTTGATGCAAACTCTTTGTTCAATATTTTTTTCCATTGTTTTTTTCGCAACGCACTACTGAGGTGAACTGGTTTCAACAGCTGCCGTAAACGAACTGTCCGACAGATCGCGCTCATTTTTGGCATAGTAATTGTCCTTAATTGCTGCCAAACTACATAAACTTAAAATATCGAAAAATATACAGCGCGCGAATTTTAAATGAGAATTTCCGAAAGCTTTTCGGTCACAATGTATGTACATTTCTTTTTACTACATGTGTACACATGATTTTAATAGAACTTTTATTGTATTTATACCATTATACAATATATTGAGAAAGCAAAATTTTTAGGCATTGTTTTCGATAGGAAACTGAGCTGGAAAGAAAATGTTTTGGAGCGGGCTAGGAAAGCAAACATTGCTTTGCTCCTTTGTCAAAAAGCTATTGGTAAAAGGTGGGGTTTGCAACCACGTATCGCTCAATGGCTATACACTGCTGTCATTAGACCAATACTTCTGTATGGCATTGCCATATGGTGGACAGCTCTTGATAAATCTTCGTACTGTACGGTACTGAACAGGGTTCAGCGCAGGGCTGAACTCTGTATAAGTGGTGCTCTGTGTACAACACCATCTATAGCATTAGATCTAATGGTCCATTTAATGCCACTTGACATCATCAGTAAGCAGTTGGCAGCATCATCTGCCCTAAGACTTAAGGCTACTTCACAATGGAAGGCTAGTGACTATGGGCACGGCTCGATTCTAAATATTTTCAGTCCTACTCCAAATAACATTGACTACACCTCTCCGATTCTCGACTTTGATAGAAAATTTATTGTTAGATTCCCATCCAGGGAAGCTTGGTTGTCAGGAGGTCCCTCCCTGGGTGAGGGTCTGCAAATTTTTACTGATGGTTCAAAGATTGGGAGCGGCGTAGGCAGTGGAGTTTTCTCAGAGGGGCTGAATATATCCTCCTGCTATAGGCTTCCGGATCACTGTAGTGTTTTTCAGGCAGATGTAATTGCCATTAAGGAAGCTTTAGCTTGTCTAGAAGTAGGTAATATACTTGAAAGGAATATATATATACTATCGGATAGTCAAGCTGCTTTAAAGTCCTTGAGTTCTGTCCAATTCACATCTAGGACGGTCCTTGACTGCTACACATCTCTAAATGAGATGTCGACGCAGTTCAATATTTCTCTAATCTGGGTTCCCGGTCATAGGGATATTTACGGCAATTGTAAAGCAGACGAGCTAGCCAGACGTGGTGCTTCAGGGAACCACTCGGAACACCTAAACAATCTGGGCATATCGTTGACTTCATGCAAATTGATTTTGAGTTCTTCCTGTACCGAACTTTTTAACAAAAGATGGGAAGACTCTGCGATATGCAGGCATCTGTATGCAATGTGGCCACAGACCAACAATAGAAAATCGAAATCTCTCTTAGAGTTATCCCGTAGAGATATCAGTCTTGTAGTAGGTTTACTAACAGGTCATTGTATTCTAGGTAATCATGCTAGGAGACTGAATCTACCGTTCAACCATTTTTGCCGCAGTTGTGGTGAGGATGACGAAAGTGCCTCTCACCTGCTTTCTTCGTGTCCGGCACATGCACGGCGTCGCCTTAAATTTTTGGGGGCTTTCTTTTTTGAGGATCTTGACGAACTTCGAGAACTCCCTCTATGCAGCATCGTAAGCTTTGTTAAAGGTTCTGGATGGTTTTAGCCCATGGGTTTTTAAATAATACGGTATCACAATGGGCCTATGGGCCTAAGTGGATCCCCCTGGGATCGCCGTTTTAACCTAACCTAACCTATACCATTATATATGTACCTTATTCAAATGGCTCATTTTGGTCAAAAATCAAATCAACAGGCAAGTTAAAAAATCAGCTGTTTAAAATGAGAACAAATGAATTACAACAAATGTAAACACTTTCAAATGACTAATTTGAAATAAGCTATTTGAGGCCAGTGTAAATGCCATAAAAGAACTGATTAATCATTGATTTTTTTATATACATATGTACAGTTTTTCCTCTTAATAACTATTTGTTAACTATTTAACTATGGTATTTAAAAATTCCAAGAATTTTTAGTGATACATACTCTTGACACAATCCTTTACAGATTTTTCGTTAAGTGATCAATTCGTGTTCTCAAAAATAATAAATCACAACCAAATCTCGTACGATAACAGAATACGATATCACCAATTTACGAAAAAAAATTGTGTGTTTTTGATTTTCGTTTTCGTATTTCTAAATTTGATATAAATTTTACACAAAATGTATATTTAAATTTGGCACCATTACGTATTTTAAATATTAAAATATGTTAGTTTCGTAGTGCTAAAAGTTATATATTATATAAGTTTAACAATTAAAAATAAAAATAAAAAATGTAATTATTTATTTAATTATTCTACAGCTGGTTTATGATTTCGTTCTAATATAAACACTGCAATTGAATTTGTTAATGAAAGAACGCTGACTCTGAGCTTCAAATTTGGCAGGGCACAAGTGCAATCCCTGGTACTTGCAGTCTTAAGAATTTATTTGCGAATAATTAAATACAAGAATTATTTTCAAGACCACTGATGATGGTTATTTGGTAATACTCCAAAACAGCTGTATGGTCAATCAAAAATTCAATTAATTAAAATACTATAAAAATAATTTTTGTTGTTGTAGCTCACTACTGTTCGAAACTTCTTTGTTAAAAACCACAGTTTCTATTAAAGTAAAAATGGTCATTTCTGTCACATTGATGTTAAAATCAAATTTAATATATTATATTAAGTAATCCTGAGAAAAATTTAATTGTTTTATGCCGTTTGCTACAATTCTTTGTTAAAATTAAAACTTTATTTATAAAACTTCTAATTTTAAATAAACATTGCGGCAATGCAGAGGTGTTATGCAGAGGTGTTAGGTGAATTATCTGTATATTGTTATATGACATTTCAAAAAAAAAAAAACTAGAATATAGTAATTTGCCTTACAAATCGTAGTGACCACAGAAATCGTGAACATACCTTCAATATGATTTACACTTGTGACAATGATATTCGTGCAATTGTTGTAATGAACAAAAAGTAAGCATGGGCATACACCTTAAAAGAAATTGGTATAAACCTGATACAAAATTTCAAATCAACTGCAGTAAACACTAGTTATCGGATAGAAAATATATATATTAAAGTTTTGCTATTATGTGGTTAATTATTTAAATATTTTTTCTTATAATTAAAGTTTATATTTTTTCTTTGTTTATTCAACATTAAAATTCTAAACAATTTTATAGTATGAATTTATACTCAAAGCAGAAATCAAAATTTAGCATGGACACCACCCATATTGCGAGAAATTGCCATAAAATTATATTTGGGAACAAAACCAAAACGAACATTGCCAGAAGTCAAAAATAGCAAAAACATATATGAGAGTCATATGCGTTTTGGCTGTTAATCTTGCATTTTTGAACGGAAATTCAAAACTTGGACGACGATAGCAAAAGGTGATTGCAAATTTGACGATAATAAACGTCACATTTGATAAAAAAAAATTCACGAAACATAAAAAAATAGAAAACGACAAGTGAGTGCGTGACATGTTGGATGTGGATAAAATATGACGTTTTAGTCAATAAAAAACATGTCAAGACCAAATTTATCAGATTTAGAAGTTTTTCGTGAGTTTGCCTTTGAAAACGACGGCGAAACTGGCACCGATGATGTGACAGATGAATTCAGAAATATTAAAGTACCATTACAGTTGGAGTACGCCATGTTACACTTTGTTTTGCAATCAAGTCGTATATTTTTCATTGACCAAGTCGAAATGTGGGAAAATTTTTTCAACTCGAATGAAGAAAATTCCTTGATTTACAGAGATTTCGTGGCGAAGGATTTGTGTGAACATTTTCAGTACTCAATGTTGCCCTACATTTTCGATTACGAAATAACAAGAGCGCAAGAAAGCATGCTCAACTTCTTGGATATGAATGAGGACTTTGAACGTGTAAGTACCGGTTTCAAGCGTTTGGAGCCAAATTTGCGTTCTGCTCACAAGAAAATGGCGAAACCAAATAAAAATTTTTATATAGCAAATAATAACGCTTCCGTCCAAAATATTGTAGGTATTTAATATATATTAAAGTAATACAAACATATGTAATTTTTAATTAATTAGATAAAAAAACGAACGCAAAATGGCAATCATGCATCTTGCAGTGAACCTAAAAGGTTGAAATTGGATACAGAAAAGTTGAAGCGCAATATTCGTACCATTGTTGTACCGCCTTCTCTTAAAAAGAGTGGCGCGGCAAATAGTTTTGACTTTTCTAAGGAAAACATTGCCCTCTTGTCAGCAGCATTTTCCAGTGAGGATGAGTTAGCAACGCAGTCGCTGCTTACCACGGAACAATTACGTGATCGTATGCGTAAGGCAAAAGAGGCCTTTGAGAAAACTGGGCGTTTACCAGAGAATCTACTCAACGAGGACGAATTAGTATTGAAAATTGAACGATGGAAAAGGGTACAAGATTCCATGGTAAATGTAACGTCCAAAAATTTGTTGCAAAAATAAATGTAATAGCATTAATGCATATCTGTAAGTGTGATGTACCTTTTGTATATTTTTTTTGTATAGTTTTTTTCATTCTGTTATGTTTTCTTAGATATGCTAAAATAAATTCAATATACAATTAAATTATATATCACATATGTATACATGTGTATTAAATATATGCATTAAAAAAGTCTTATAAAGATAACTACAAAATTGATATATATTATAGATATACATAATAATTAATATACATGTTAATATTACTGTTACTGTATTGCATTTAAAATTAAAAAATATGTAAAAAGTAAAATCTTGTATTCATTACTGATGTGATATCCTTAAAGAAAAACACGCGCTACGAATGTTAAATTAAAAATAATGAAAGTTTAAATAAATTATGGCTAATAGTTAAATGAAGCTAATTACTTACTAAAGCTAATAACTAAATAAAGCTAATAACTAAATGAAGCTAAAAGCTGAATGAAACTAATAGCTAAATGAAGTTAATAGTTTACTGAAGCTAATACCTAGCTAAATAAAGCTAATAGCTAAATAAAGCTGAATGAAATTAATAGCTAAATGAAATTATAATTAAATAAAGCTAAGAACTAACTGAAGCTAATAGCTGAATAGCTTATATATATATTAAAGAATATTAAATGTTAAAACCAGTAGCTAAAAATTGAAACGATTGTAAACGATTTGTAGAAATCCTGAGCTTCACTATAAGGAACTTGAAAATGTAAAATGTATAATAAATAAATAAATTTTTTGTGAATTTCAAAAACGGCTCAATAGACAACATTCAGTAGAGTAGATTGCATTTTTCTTGTGTCGTTTATTTCAACAAAATCTAACATCAGACATTTGAAATCACTAATTTTTGAACTCAAAATTTCATTAATAATTTATATAATAATAAATATATATTGTATGAAAAAGATATATCTATAAATTCATTAGAATGTTTATTAAACATTTTTATGGAAATTTTTTTATATTTAAGACAATAAATTAATTGCAAGTTTACATGCTAACTTTAAACAGGTATAGTGAGCTCCTGAACTACAGCTTTCAGCACATCCGGCGTTTTGAAACACCAATTCTTTATGTTTTTACTGACACGACACCAAGCCTCTCCGTGTTTTGGTTCCGCGGTAATGCAACGCTGCAGCACTTCATTCTGTTGTTCTTCGGTGCCGTGTAACAATTCGAATTTATAAAAATAAGCCCAAGCATCGCCTAAATCAGAATCGATCTTTACCTAAAAATAAAATAAATATTAAGTAAATTTAAACTTTTACAATAATTCAACTTTAGATGACTCACTGTGCGATTAAACCAATCACGGCACTTTGTGAATTTATGTTCCGACCAAAACAACTTTGATACGGCAAGCAGCACATGTGGGTCGTGTTCACATTTCTTTAAAGCATCGACAGATTTCGTTTTCCTTAATGGTTTAGCTTCCAAAAATATTGATTCAGCCCATAGTTCGCCTGCATCGGAACACTCTTGCAAAGCACGTGCCATCATAGTACTAGCAATTTCCTTCAAGCCTGCACGCAGTTCCACACGAATTGCTTCCAACCAAAGTATAGGAGTTTTAGGATTACGCAAACGTCCTCTCTCCAATATCGAACGTGCTTTAGTTAGTGTACCTTTACGTTCCTCCAGACGTGCAGACAATAACCATAGAGAAATTGAAGTAGGACACTTTTTAATGCCATCAGTATATGTGACTGCAGCATCATCAATTTTTCTCTGTTGTTCTTCAATTTGTCCTTTCATCATCCATAATTTTGCGAAATCAGGAAATACTTTAACTGCCTCATCCAATAAACGTAACGCTTCATCCAAACGATCCAATGCCCATTCTAAACGTGCCGATTTCATCATAACACGTGGTGTTGGAGCAGATGCACGAGCTTTTGCCAGCAAACGTCGTGCTCTTTCGTATTCTGCATTTTCAGATTCTAACTTAACAGCAGCCAACCAAATATCTTCAGAATTGGGATTAGCTTGGAAAGCCAGCGATAAAATCCCACGTGCTGCTGGTACATCACCAGCTAACCATTTGGATTTTGCACCCATTAACCACAGGACTTCAGATTTTGGACAGTGCGCAACTGCACGTTGCAGTAAAGCTTCTAATGATTCCCTTGTGCCATGATTTTTTTCAAAGTAAGCAGCACGCAACCAAATACTCTTCTTCGATGGAAAGACTTGCAAAGCATGTGCATAAACCGCACGTGTACATTCAAAAGCATTTTCTTTGGCACACTAAAAAGAATAAAACAAAACGTTATAATAAAAACAAACAATGAAACAATAGAATACATACAAATTCCGCATCATCGATCCAGGTTTGCTTACGATCTTCCTCCTCCACGCCAATACCAATTACAGCTTTAATTATGGCTTGACAACAGTGTACTGCGCCAGATTTCTCTGCTTCAATCGCTTCCTGGAACCAGTGATCACGATTTATTTCCACACCATTCGCAACCAATGAAGTTAACGAACGATCAATAATCTTCTCTACCATGTGTATATTATCATTCGCCTCCTCCAATTTTGCTGCAGTCGTCCAAATCTGTCGGTCAGTTGGTATGTTTTCGCGTGCTTTATTAAGCACTTTACGTGCGTTCTCATACGTTTCCAAACGTGCCAACGCCAACCACAATTCAACACTCGTGTTGCAACACTCGACAGCACGTGATAACAAAATTCTGGCATCATCCGGTTTTTCTAACTCAACTGCAGCTTTCCACAAACGCACAGAATTGGGTATATGTTCTAGTGCCTTGCGGAATACGCGTCGCTTGGCTTTTGTTTCCGTTTCGAGATCAGCTGCCTTAATCCATATACGCACCGATGTTGGAATGTGTCTTGCTGCTTGTGCTATAACTGCCTTTGCAGTGTCTGGCGGTTGCAAACGTGCTGCCTCCAACCACAAATCCTCTGATGTTGGATTTATTTCACAGCCACGCATTATGAGATTACGCGCCATAACTACTTTGCCAGTCACTTCTTCCAAACGAGCTGATGCTATCCAAGCAGGTGGATGGTTAGGATTTGTTTCACGCACACTTTTCAAAAGTAAACGCGCTTTTTTTATGTCATTGATATCGCCACCATATGTTGGTATCATACTTTGCAAATCAGTCAAATATCCTTTAGGATCTACAACCGTTTGACCAGTAACAGAATCCGACACTTGAGAGAGTTTCACATTCATCAATGTATTACGAGCTTGACCAATTTTACGTAAATCCAAATCGCCAGTGGGTGTTAACATACCTGGTGTAGCTACGCCAGGTACCATTGAAGCTAAGCCAGACGTTGGATCAAGTGTCGAACTGCTTTCACCACCCAAATTACGTGATAACACACTGTCCGGCAGTGGTGTAAACTTTTCAGCACGTGGATTTCGTTGTTTACGATTACGACTGTCACCTACTTCCGGAATGGTTGACCATTCTTCAACGGTGATATTTGCAAGTGAACGTTTTAAATCAGAAAATTGTTGCTGAATTTTTGGTCTGCAAATAAAGATGTTGATGTTATTATTTTATTACATTATATATAAACTTATTACTACATACCGTTCCTGACGATAACGTTCCAAATCTTCACGCATCCTGCGGTCTCTATACTCTTTACGTTTCTCATCCATGCGTTTATCAATTGAGTCATATATTGCATCTGCTTCTTCGTCATCTTTATCATAAGGATCTTTTGAGAACAATGATCCACTATAACCACTAAATTCATCATAATTTGAATCATTTAAATCCTCATCTTCCTCCTCTTCTTCTTCTTTCTTTTTACGCTTTGCAGCTGGTGGCGCATGCCGGTCATCGGAGACATCATTTGCATCTCGTGCGGGACCAATATCAGAACGTGTTGTAAAACCAGTAGCACTAAAGAAAAAAGTAAATAAAGTTAATATTTATTTATTAAAACACATTAACATATTTTTAGAGAAAATATATTTACCCGCGTCCTACACCAGCAACATAACCTAATGGTGCTGGGACACCAAGAAAATGTTTTTTATTTCGGTTTGCTATTACCGCTGCTGTTATGTTCGACATTCTTAAATAATTATGATTGTAATATTAAATATATTCCAGTTTTTTGTTGATAATAAAGAGCAATTGTGAAATAGGCTGCGTAAACTAAATTTGTTATTATTGAAGGTGAGTATAAACGAACAGCTGACTGAATGCATTAGCTGTCAAATTAAGATGACCATCTAGTTCTTTTGAGCAGACTAGATATGACACATTGTAAGGTGAATTTTTTTCACGCAATGTATAATTCATTTACCAAACAATAGACAAATATATAAGAACATTATTTATTGGTTCCATAATAATTATTCTATTACATATAATAAAACTATGTAAATGAAAAATATTTCAGTAAATATAGTTGATAAAAAACTTTTAAAATTAATTAGTTAACTATATAATTAAAATTGCAATACTAAAATCATATGATATTGGTGTATATTAAAAAATAATATATCAGCGTTATTTATATATAATATTATTAGCCGGTGCATTTATCCTGAATAAGCCAATCTTAAAAGTTGTGTTAAATCAATTAATTACTTAAATAGTTTAAAGTTGTGTACCCTTAGAATAATTAATAACACAAAAAAAATTTAAACATTTTTCTTAATTAATAAATATGATTAATGTATACGCTGTGAAGACACAAATTAAATCTTTTATTATTTTATCGTATTTTTAAAAAAATAAGGAAACATTATTATGGAAAAATATAAAAAGAATCACAAATTTATTTGATAATTTAACAATTTGTACTCATAATTTTCTAAATTTTAAAAATCAAAAACTAATATCATATCAGAAATTTTGTTATATAAATTTGTTTATCTAAAATTGCAAATTCTGTAAACTTTCTTCCCGATTTTTTAATTTTTCTTGCATTCCTGGTTCTAATTTCATAATTTCCTTTGCTTCATCCAGAAGCAATTTCGATTCCTTGAGGTTTCTCTAAATAATTTAAAATAAAACTTTATGTAAATTATAATTTAATAAACTTTTTGTATATATTACATCTCTGTTTAGTAAATTTTTCTTGACAGCTATAAATAATGCCCATTGTAAGTCCAAGAGTAAATTTCCACGAAATATGCTCCAACCACCATCTAGCAAATCTGCTAAATCCAGTAGTTCGCGGCATAATTCTATTTGTCTGCTGATATGACTTTCATCAATTTCTGAGAATTTAATGCTTGAGGTGAATAGAAGAATAATAAGTGGTGAATTTTTTATACTTACCACTAGGATCACTGGCCGAAGTGAGAGCTTTGCCATAAAGTTGCGTTAAAGCATATTTCACTTGCAGCACATAAGTGTTTTTCTCGTGAAGATCAGCGCGGTGTTTATAAATAAAATCTTCAAATTGAGTAATGCTGGTCTTATTACATCCATCGATTTCTTTCTGCAATGCTTCATAGCCTTTAAGGATTTGCATTGCAGTTTTTGGATCCTGACAAATTTGACAGGTCCATTTTGCGTCATTGTCATATGGATTGGTGGAAATGAATTTTCCAATCTTGCATTTCTTACACACAAACGATCCTGCAAATGTATTTAACTCCAGTGGATCGGCACAACGTTGACAAGTGCAGGCGAAACACTTGGCTTGCGCTAGATGGATGCGCCGCAACAATGTGCACTTCAGTGGTTGCGTATAAGAAGTTGCAATAATTTCACCTTTCGCAATTGCAGTTTTGGCGATAAAAACGATTTGCATGTTGTCATCAAACGTGTGTCTCGCATTGGATATGCAGTCATGAGATATCATCGCGGCAGCTGGATATATGGCGCGTACGCGTATTGCATTGCTCTCTTGTCGTACGTCAAACGCATTAGTGTCAATGCGTCCCGCAATGCGTAGGATTTCGGTCTCACTCCACTCGTGCAGCCCCATTATTCTGTGCATGAATGTTATTAAGTTAGCGCGTAGTACATTGTACAGTGGCGTACCGATACGCTCCGGTAGATGATGTTCCAGTTCGGCAAATTTATCGAACAGCTCCGCGCTTTTATTCTTTAATAAAATGCAACGAAGTGGCATTATAATGCAATAAGCGGGTACCATCGTCGTGGAGTTCAGGTTCGCCGAATTATAGTTGAGTTTGCTTTCGAATTTGCGCGCTGACATAAGCTGACACTCATCCACGTGGTTCGGGGAGATTTCGCAAGCTTTGCTGCACAGCGGCCATGTACATTTGCTGCATTTGTAATAATTTTTCTGCGGAGGTTTAGGATCTGGTAGTAGTTTGTGACAACCTAAGCAAGTGGGTGCGCATGATATCTTTGGTCCGTATATAAGTGGTGATTCTCGCAATATGATTTCACCAGGCTTAATATTACGTTTGGCACGTAAGTGACGACCAAGCAAATCGTTTATGGCAACCTGAAAAGAATGAAATTTCAACAATTGTTGATTAAGGACGTAACGAATTAAAAATGTAAGTAAATATTAATTTAATTATAAATAGTTTTTAGATTTAGAAAAACCTTTCACTTTGTCAGTAAAATAATATACGATAATTGTTGGATTTGTTATTTCTTAACATCTTTCTTGATAAGGTAAAATTCATAAACTTTTATAAGAAGTCTATAACATATAATCATATGTAGGTCAAAACTATACTATATTATTCGATGCTATATCAATATATATAATTGGTGCATAATCAACAAATCTGTTTATATCGATTTATACCCTTTCCTTAACAAATACGGTACTTAATCGTATTACTTGGGTGTCAACGAAGAAAATTGTTAATATAGGTTTTTCATTTCTAAGAGCTGTGGGAATGTATAGTACAAGATAGCTCATAATTTTACTAACTTCGCCATTGCATTGCGATCAAAATCTGGTATATTTCATTCCCTGATTGTTGTGTTTGACAATATGACATTTTTGTAAAGAGAATGTTAATGTTTGCTAATACCTTCTTTGCTTCTTTCGATTCAGTTAGCTGATTTTGCAACTTGATTAAAGAAGTATAATCTTCATCTGATGTATTGGATTACAATAATCTTCTCGCATAATTACATGTTCGTATTAAATGTAGAATTAGTGCACTTATTCAATTATGTTATAGGGATAAGGACTTTAAATATTCACCTTGTGAAAGCTATTTCCAGATGTTATGAAGGGTAATAAAATCGGTTACCCCTGCATATAGAAAGGGCACTGAACCCACCATGCTAGGAGTGGATGATGTTTTGATGATGGTGATGGGAATTGCGATAATATTTGATCTGGTTCAGTTGAGTAATGAGGAAGAGAACTGTAAGGTGGTTTATATGGAGGTAGTTCATCGTCTATGTCAAGGGTTAGCAACTGCAGTTAGCAGTTGTAGAAGAACCATATTGAGTTTGTATTATTTCATGTCATGGAATAATTGCATAAATGAGCAACTTATTTCAAGAGTAGATGAGTTAATTAATCAGAAGTAACTGTTAGTAACGCGACCATATTCTGACCAACTATATCAAAACAGTTTGTTCTTGTTTGTTGGGAAAATAGTCTATCAGGTATGTGTAGTAGACAGAAGATACTATTTAGACGTTAAAATATATATGTCAATTGATACATTATAGATTCAATATATGTGTATATACATTTGTTTTTATAATAAAAATGATTTCATAGCACTTTTCAATTTGACTTTCTGCATAAGTCCTCTTAAATAGTCTAGATGATTGTATAAACGGGGTAGGTCCAATAAGCTTTTGTGCATTGTGAAAACAGATGGATCTACGGTACGCGTAATAACTTAACAACGTTTTGATACATATTATTTTATCTTTTTTTTTGCATTTGGTGATTAAATACATACGAAAAGATTTCACTTGTTAGGTTTAATTAACCATTTTTCCAGAACATTAATAACTCCATCTAACCATTTTAGTATACTTAAGTACATAAACAATGCTTAACAATTTGACATGATCTTAAATTAATGCTCTCTATTAATTAATTTTGTTGTTGTAGTTGGATCTTAAGGGATCTTAAGGGTCGCAACAAGATGACATCTTACTGATAAGGATCTTAGTTTACCATATGAGTAAATTTTTAATGATGTCAAATGAATATTTGATGTGGCCGAATAAATGGTTGCATGAATGGTCGAATTTGGGTGGGAATTAAATAAAGCCATAAGGTTGAGTTAAAGAAAGTTGATGTAAAATCTAAATTGGTGTGAAATGGTTCAAAAAACTGCGACATAGGTAATACAAAATTATAGATTAAGGGGGTCGAATTTGTTTGTGTAGTGTCAATCTCAATTTATAAAATATAACATACAGTTATAGGTATAATAAGAAATAAAGTTAAGCAAGTATATTCTTATATATATACAATCTAGATACTTTAAATTGAACTCTAATTATTATTTTAGAAGACTACAAAACTCTTCTATAACACAAAGTTTGTGAAGAAATTCGGTTTACTTTAATCGTTTTTACGCTTCTCATCAAATTACTAAGAACTTAATATTAGTTAATAATTGATTTGACGTCCTCCAAAACTTTTATAAAACAACGTATATATTATTTTTTAAAATTTACTGTCAAATAATCTATATGCAGATTTTATTTGTCTGTCTTAAAAACTGAGAGATTATTTAGATTCCGATAGTTTAGATTCGGAACTAGTAACTTACAAATCAAAATACAGATAAACAAACACACAGAAAAACATATATGTAAAACACCTATATTTCATTAGATAGACCTTAGATCAACTAATCATATTTTACGGGTATTTCGGGTATGGATTTTTTGAAACTGTGTTTATTAATGTATCGCGGTAAACTTAATATATTTTTTTTAACTGTGTTTATGAAGGGTTAAATCCATTATATAGGAATTATATAGAAAATTAAACCACCATTTGTGCTCAATTTTTATATTAAGAAACCTTGAAATTTGTGATTCAACGCGGAGCATTAAATTTTATCTCGCAGTTATATACTATAGGCTAAGGCTACTGCTATTCGTAGTCGGTTATACGAAGTATTCGGAGAATGCGATCAATCAGATAGTAAACGAAGTCTCCGGGGATAAAAAAAATCCGGTTTTTTTTGTAAATCCGGAGTCTTCAAATATTTGGAACATTATTGGTAGTCAAATTATTCGGAGACTTCGTGAACAAAAGTTGAAGGAAGAGCACAAAATGCAAATGAATGTGCATCAACACAAATAAACAAATACAAATAAACAAATTTATTGTGAAAATTTTTTTAGGAATGATAGAATTTGTTTGTTTATACGATTTTGTGGATTTACAAAAAATCCGATTATTTTCGGACAGACTTCGTGCTATCCGAATAACCATATAATCGGATACCTTCGGTTTTTAAAATATCCGAATTATATGAACAGCACCACTGTAGGTAATGTATAATAACCCGACATTTTCATAGAATACTGAAAATACTGCAGAGCACTTAATGCCCAACGGATTAAAACTTAAAAAACTTTGATCGAAGATTACATCCTTACAATTTAAGATAACTTAATTCAATTTACAAGCATTTTATTTCAGCACAAATTTGATACTTAAAGTATCTATAGTTCGATAAAAGATAATAGAATAGATCGAAAACTATTAAAAATTATAAAAATTTTTTTTAAAGTGATGAATGATTTGTATCTCACGATAGAATTTTCTTAAGATACATCTCTTTGTGTTAAAATTGTCATGTTTGACTAAAAGTAAGGTCAAGGTTAAAGAACTCAGGAATATATAAATGCGATTTTAGTTATATATAGTTGAGTCTGTGACCTTTATCTTAGAAATCACCAGCACTATTTTTCTCATTAAAATGTTGCTAAGAGTATTAAATAAATTAAAAATATAAAGAAAAAAGATTTCATTCATTCTTAATGTTGTGTAGATAGCAACGTTCATATACTAGATGAACCACTTAAGTAGCGTTAGACAATATTGACCTCATAACATTTGCATTCCTTTTTGTGAACTTCCTTCCAATGGGCGACCTGGTGTTCCCGACTGCAGTAGTAAATGTTCTTACAGTTGCTACATGTCTGCGAGGATTTCTTGCCACAAACAGCACATGATAAATTCTTCATTATCACAAATTAATTTCAAATAAATAAAAGAAAATGTTTATAAAGTTATTAATTTTCGAAATGTTCACAAATTTTATTTGACATTTATTGTGAAAATTGTTTGCGTAATAATCACGTTTGCACTGCACCGCACCGCACGAGCCGAAGACGAAAATTTATTTGAAAAGAAAATCTATATTCTTTCTTTACTGGCACCAAGAAAAGTGAAGACAGAACATCATTTGCATATTCCGCGGATTGATTAAGAACGACGACACAAATCGTGGCCACGCGCTGTATTGCCTTCTCGGTTCTCTGGCAGTGATTGCATGTTGTGATCATGTCGCCATCGTTTTATTTTTTTATTATTAGAATTATTACGCTTTGGCATAGAGCGCGTTGTATGCCTCCTATACTTTCTGGTACCTGTGCCTTTCGGATTATTCTATCTTTACCTACTCAAAATACTCAATAATTATTGTAAACGGCTACGACTACAACAACTAATGAAGCATAATTTTCATTTGCTCTGTTTATATTGAGAAACATAAATTTAATAGACCCAATGTCTCGGACCAATTAATTACATCCATCGACAAATGCTAGTCTTACGTAGATTTTTTTGGGTGTCTTTCGATGTTGATAAATGTAATTTTGTTCTTTAATTACAGAGCTAATTTGGTTTTATTATTTAAATGTGTGTACTAAAATGACGGCCTTATAAAAATGTTTCACTGGCTGTATTGTATCTGCATTTTAATAATTTAAAATTTGGCAAGACTTGGGCACTTGTCTGTACCAATTTTTGTAAATAGAATGAAAAAAATATGTTTAATAAAACGTTTCCATAATAATAATAATCAATTATATATTATAAACTTCCATTGTTTGGAATTTAAAAACTAATTGATTGCAAATTTTGATCATATAAATGATATACCATATAATATACCATATAAAAATGATCCGATCAAAAGGTAGATAAAGGATAAAGCCCTGAAATTATTTACGACAACTGATAGGCTTACCAACACCGCTTTATCGAATCTCAGAATGGTTACAGGCTCCTCGGGGAGGTAAGCAGATCTGAGGTCAATTATTACTTAGTCTGATGAAGTGATAATTGACTGGATGATTGACTGGATTTCAAGGTGTAGAGAGGGGTTATGAAAAAATCACGCAGTTAATAGAGAGTAAAAGTACACAAGTGCACTGACACAACTAGGCTCAACATAATAATAATAAAATGGTGTTATTTTCTTGAAAAAAATGAATAACTCTCTGATGGAATTATAATTAAATCCGAGTAACTACTATACTACTCCTTTACTACTATACTACTACTACTCCTATACTACTCAACAACTAACTTTGTACATGTTCTGGACGCTAATTACTTAAAATACTATGAGTCTAGTTGACTAGTAGCGCCATCTATCGAATAATCACTAATATTAACTATAACAATACTGATTTTTTAAATTATACTTAGTATAATTCAATAATATATTACAGTAATAACTCTGTAATTATAATTTTAACTTACTTGGAGTCAAAATTTACTTGTACCAGTGTTTAAACAGTTTTGAACGTGAATCCGGTACAGGTTCTTTCTTATCTTCGGGAGGTAATGAATTGCGAAATTCGGAATAACTTTTTTTTGGACAATATGGTTTTGCGGAAGCAGAAGGTTCAGCGGTTACACATTTTTGGACGTCCTCAGTAACTTCAGTTGCAGTGTTACATTCAGGCTTTTTAGAAACTTTTTCTTTACTCACAACACAATCTTTACCATTTGCAATCTTGGGATTTATATTATTAGAAGATTTGATTGGTACATTTGAATGATTAAGCGATTTATTTTGTTCCATGGTTTTAGCAGTATGATGCAACTGTTTCTGATATACCATTTGAATATCAATTGGAGTATACTCACTGGGCGCTGACGTATTTTTCAACCGCTTATCTTCCGCACACTCTGCTACTGTTTTTCCAACTGTTGTCTTGGGGTCAGACAATTTCTTACTATGAACATCGTCCATTCTTTGTGCGATATTACCAGTGTCATGCTTTTGCCTTAGTCCTACTACTTGTGATAAAGACAGTGGCTTGGTGACATATGATCTTTGTAACTGATTTACCGGAATTTTGCTGGCTTCTGCTATAGCTGCTGTCCGTATTATAGAACCACAAAGTACTTTGCTAGCGCACAAAAATTTATATTGTGCCATTATTTTGAAATTACGTAAAAATTTTTTTATTCGAATGTAAAAATGTTTCCAAAAAGTTTAAGGATAAAATTTTGAATTTTGAGTAACTATTTTCAAATTTTATAAAAAAAAGTTCTGTATTTATACTTATTAATATATATCAAAATATGACTACTATGATTTTTTTCGAAATATTTCTATAATTTAATTATGACATAGAGTAGTAAATTTACAAATCATAGCACTATATCAACGAATTATAAACTAACTGACAAAAAATCTTTGGAATGAGCCAACTTCGTTGGCTTAGTTCATAATGATAATCAAAACGTCAGTGTTTTAGTCAAAGCTGTAGGATAGTCAATATTTTACACGATTTCTATTATTGAGTATATTATGTTGAAGCTATTTGAGCTAGTGCACTTGAGCACTTTACTAACTCGAGGTATCTTCAAAACCCCTTTTTACGCCTTGACTGCATTAATGTTTATCACTTCATCAGACTAAGCAATAATTGACCTTAGATCTGCATACCTTCCCGAGGAGCCTGTAACCATTCTGAGATTCGATAACGCGGTGTTGGTAAGTCTGTCAGCTTTCGCAAATAATTTCAGGGCTCTATCCTTTATGTATTTTTTAATCGGATTAATGTTGAGGTTTCTGAGGATGTCATTCGTCCTAATGTACCATCGTAACTTGAAAAATCCTCTCAAAAATAGAAATTGAGTTTAATGTGCTTAAGACAGATGATCAGAACGTCAGTATTTAAGTCAGTATTAAATTAGAGTATTAAATTAAAGTCAGCGATGAGTTGTGTGTAGTTAATGAACTAGTTGTTAGTCGCCTAGGGACTCCAACGTCAATAATAATCTGTTATAACCAAATAAATATTTTTTTTTATCAATCTCTTGCAATGTATATTTTCTTAAAGATATGGTAAATAAAATGCTTTAATATTTCGAATTTTAAAATTTTTGTTGTAAGAATTAACTTATTATATAAAGAATTCTTTAAAAGTGTTAGGTTAGGTTAAGTTTAAGAGGCAGTCTTGTAAACAAAAAGCTTCTTTGTGTACATATAGTGGCCCATTGTAATACTTTGCATGAAACATCATTTGTACACCAAAACTGAAGAACCACCTTATAGTAGAGGTTGAAGGCATGTAGTACATCTCTGTTTCAGAAAGCATGACTCCCCTATTGAAGTAAAAACGAAACAACCTGATGAGTCGTTAAATTTAGTTATGTTCTTTATTTTAAAGGATAACAACTATATCCTTTTCTCATGTCTGTTAAAAAAAGTGCCCGAAAGATTTTGAATCTTCTTGTAGCCAATGATGGGCACTGATACATTCAGTAAAGTATCGTTTCCTTTTTTTTTTTTGCTAATCAATAACGTTGACACAAGTGGTTAGAGAACGAGTCTTGTTGTATATTTTCTTATTACCCTAGCCTACTACCACCGATACCTTGGTATTGAGTTTATTTTGCTTTAGCTGAATTAGCCGACTGGTCTTACCGAATTTTGTACCAGGTGAGTTTTGTGTTCTGACAAGAATTTTCATCTATACAGGATTTCATTGCCAATGTGTGAGATAGTACAGGTTATTATATAACGATTTCATTGTAATATAATGGTTGGAAGAATTTATATATGGTTTTCTGTTAAGTTGTTAAATAACGTATTGTTTATTAGAAACAAATTTTAATATTTAATATGTATGCAATACCGCGACGTTTAAAGGATTTTATACATTTATCATATAACAGTTATAGAAAAAATGCTATAGTTTTTCAGATGTTTTTTTTAACCCGTTTAGTTTTACCATCTTTCTGAATACTGAAACCAAAGTGAGAGTAGTGAGTATCATTAGGGCATCATTCACAAGTTGGTCTGTGTCGTAGACCTAACAGACGTTTTATAAAGGTTATTTCATGACATATGACGGCATTAATCACTCAAAAACCAAGAGTATTACATCTGAAGATGCGAACCGATAATCTTTCATATTAATTACTATTTGATGGAATAAACATTGATTAATCCACAAAGCTACAAAGTCCTTTTTTATTTTCGATATTTTTCAACAATTTAAACGTCTAAATCAACACTTAAAACTCACAATGATTGATTGAGAAAAGTAACTAAATAGAAGTAAATTTTTTTTACTTCTACTTTATTTTGTTTTTAAAATTTTTTTGCATACATTCTGTTTTTACACTCTTTGATTCTTTATATCCACTTTTTGATTAAAAATATTTAGGGGAATTGTTGCAATAAAGATTCTATAATCTTAGCTAGAAAGACATCTAAAAGTCTTGAACTATCCTGTGACAAAAGGGATCTCCTGGTTGAATCAGGTACAACGGGTGCAGTAGTAGACGATTCTGGAGAAGGCTGAGGCGGAGGGAGCTCTTCGGTTTGTGGTGAAGGAAGTGCTGCAACAGCACAAACTGCACAAATTAAAACTAATAAAAGATAATGTGGAAAAATTAAATAATTTTACGGAAATGTTAATAAATTACTTACAGAATACTAGTATTTTTACTCTGCTGGAAAACATCTCGTAATTATTTTTTAAAGTTTCTCAAAAGATGATTAGCTGAACTTAAGCTTAAATATTGCTTGCAGTACTGAACGGAATAATAAAAAGAATTTTAATTTATAACGAAAACTTGCAGTTTACATTTCATTTCGGAAAATATTTGCAGTTGTCATATCTGCTAACTGGCATATTTAATCCAATCTAAAGCAAATAATTTTGAACTCCATGAACTCTTCTACGTGTTCTCATGGAACTGATTTTGGCACAGACTTTAGATTCACCAAATTCGGGTCTCATTTCTTAGAATATTTGGGTTTGTTTGCGCTATGAATAATGAAATAATAATTTAATATTTTATCTTTTTTAATTTATTTTTAAAAAATGTTAGTAGTTATATTTAAAAATATTTGCTGTATTTCTGATTAGCAAAATAAATAATTTATTTTGCGGATATTTTGATATCGTAGATAATGTCACTACCACAAGATCTTGTGATGCTGGTCTGCGGTAAAAACTAAAACTTTTGAGTTTGTATAAAAAGCGAACTATCGAGCGGAAGAGCATTAAAGTTAAAAGTGCGTGTTACGCTTACTTTTCATTCATAAAAATCGTTTAAGAATTACTAAAATACTCAAAATGTTTGCACGCGGTTTAATTTTGCCTTGTGAGTTGTGAGATTTTATTTAAATGTTTTTCTAAATAAATAATTATAAATTTTAGTCCTAGCTTTGATGGCTGTGGCTTTTATGTGCTCTGCAGTACCCGCTTCTGCAGCTGTTGTTAAGCCAGCCGAGAAGGTAAAACCAACTGAACCAGCTGCTCCGGCTGAACCAGCTAAACCGGCCGCTCCGGCTGAACCCGTTGAAGCAGAACCTGTGGAACCAGTTGAACCCGTGGAAGCAGCAGAACCTGTTGAAGTAGAACCCCCCACAGCACCAATACTACCAAATCCTTTGCTCTCGAAAATTGTATCCGAATGGCTAGCCTTTATTTCAAATCGTCCAAGTGCTTAAGTTACAATATGTAACTTCATAAAAAAGTTTAAATCATTTGCATTGTTAATACATTAACGAATAAATATTCACTTAACTGTTGTAAATTATAATGTGAGTGCTTTTAAGTTTCTGAATTACAAAAAGTGAAAAATTTTTACTAAACATTTCCCCATTAAAGCAGATCTGAACTCGGTCATGAGTTGCATGATTTTTTACTAAACACTTTTCATAAACTCGATGATGAGATGCGTGAGATAACATCACAACATGCGTTACCATCTGTCTAAAATAGGTTTATTTGAGATGAAAGATTGTATTCACTTCCTGTAAGAGGAAATGTAATCACATTTCTTGTGATTGTTCGCTGTGCTTCAAAATGGATGCTTACATCCCTGTTTTTTAACTATCTATCTCTCTAAGTAATGTTCTTTGTTATTTCTGTAAAGCAGTTTATAATATTTTATTAATTTATAATTACTTAATACGCAGAATGAACAACTGAATCTAGTGTACGACAAATTATTTTCATATCCTGTATGTAAAGAATATTTTACGGGCAATCAATATAGTAAACTCGTCAAGAAATATTATAGAACTATGTAAATCGATATCTGTGACAACAAAATCGGTTTTTGGTGTGAAGTTATTTAACTAAAATATATATATTTTATGATTGCATCGGAATTACTCAATATACAAAAGTTAATGTTTAATGCTTTTGGCTATTATAAGAATAGATAAACAAAAATTAATCAAAGCCGTTGCTATGATCACGTTCATATTTTCTCTTAGTAAACTTGCTCATAGATCACATTAAAAACTCAATTTTTATTCCTCTTATGAAGTAGATTTCTATATTATATCTATATAAGTAAATTTTTTTATTAGATTATTACACGTATAGTTCATTTTACATGTGCAAGAATTACTAAGCAATATTTTCGACAATCCTTTTAACTGGTTGTGCTGATTATACGATAGGAGGACTTTCATTCTGAAAAAAATCTATAAAATAATTAAAGTTTTCTTTGTATTAGCAATACAAACATCTGAAAAGTTTTCAACACATTTATTCTAATTAAAAATATAAAATTCTGTGAATTAACAGTACTTAACTGCTTCAATAGAATTGCAATTCAGTTCCAAATTAAGGATAACAAAATTTCTAATTGTCCACGACATGTTACGGACTAAATGAAATTTTATCATAGTACTATAGGAGTAGTACAGGAGTATAGGAGTAGGAAGGCAATCTTCAAAACAGTAATCAATGATTAAAATATTACTGATATTTCAATGATAATTACTTCGAAATTATTTTTTATAATGTATATACATATCATACCTAACCTAAACTAGTGCTTTTGCACCATGTTGGCTGTAGATTATATTGTTAATGGAGGATCTATCCCTTAATCTGCCCTTCTTTTTTGTATATGCCACTGATATATATATATATATATATATATATATATATATATATATATATATATATATATATATATATTATATATATATATATAATATATATAATATATATTATATATATATATATATATATATGTATATATCAATATATACACATGTATAAGTAACATTATATTATATTATATCATATATATATACATTATATTATAAGATTATGTCATTGTATATCTGACAAATGAAACAATATGTTGTCAAACACCTTTTACTTACCTGATATTTAAAGACACGTTTCAGTGAGGTCCAGTTGAATATGTGTTTAGGTGGACTCGAAAAAATTAAAAAATGCCTTATATACAAGTTCCATAAGAATGTTAATAAATATATTTTTACAAACTTTCCACGTGTCCTTTCTAACAGACTGCCCACTTAGTTTTTTAATAAAGAGAAAAAAAATTTCAAATGCCATAACTGTTATTCCGATTAGATTAATGAACCAATTATCAAACTAAACGATTAAAAAAAAAATCAATATCGCAGATATTAAACATTAAATTTTCTACTAACTTCTACGGTTCTGTAAAAAACCAGCATATAAAGAACAGAAACACTAAAAGCTTTCCCATACTGACCCCAAGTATAGACACTCCTGTATCGATGTGTGAGTAAGTCTTCGAATCTTCTCATGTAAACTATCTAAACATAAAGACATTTCTTGTTGTTATAGGGACATTTCAAAGTAAAGTAAAGTAAAGATACTTACTAATGACAACATAGACGCAAACAAGGAATATAAACAGATTGCTACCTTCAAATACTTTAAAATATCCAAAATGGAGGCGTGGAAATTTTCTCCTAAAGTTTGCTTGTAAAAATTAGTCATTAAACCCAAATTTTCGATGTGGTATTTTCTGCATAAACGGAATTGCAAGTACGGGCGGTATTCCAAGATGTTGCAAATGTGTTGTCCAAACATAATTAAACACCAAATCTATCTGTATGTTAGATATATACAAAACTAAAATTTGATGAGTTGAACATTACAAAACAAAAGAAAATTTATATAAATAAAAATTCATTATATTTATTCGACAATTCAATCCGAAAGTCCAAAATATTGGACTACTTTGATGAAATATTTTATAATTTCAATACAGAGGTAAATAAGTACAGAAGATTTATTGTACATCTCTCTACTAGTATAAAGCAATCCTATAAATCTTAACTAACCTTGTTGGCTTTAAATACTCAAGAATGTTGCCTGGATTTAGCATTTAGTTTTGGGTTATGTTTTGAATTTTGAGCATTTCTCTGTGCCGCTTTATCTAAATTTAGTATACCAGCAAAATTTATACGGCTATGTAAAATGACGTTGAACAACATTACTAGCTCCGTTGGAATCGGGAAGAACCTCTCCGAGTCGTGTGATACCAAACGAAGTTTTAGACAGAGTGTCGTGTGACTACTTTAATTTAATGTTGGAAACGATCAACTAAGCAGTAGATTAAAACCGTACTGGCACAATGTTCTACAAAATCGTAATATTTGTGGCGTATGCCGATGACGCCGTCAGTGCGGCATTTTCCAACTCTTTTGGTAAATAAAAAGTACTTTCTGTCAACAAACAAATCTCCTGAGTGTCTGAGGATCCACGCCACTCTTGACAATTATAAGTTCGAAGTTGTGAAAGACTTTGTTTATCTCAAAACCAGCGTAAACACCAAAAATGATGAAAGCCTAGAGATCCAACGAAGAATCATTTTTCCCTTTCTCGACAAACAAAAATTACACTCTACAAGTCTCCTATCAAGACTGTTCTGCTGTATGGTCTAGAAGTTAAGAGCACATTTGTAATCGATGATGAGAAAGCGTTATTAGTATTAGACAGAAAAATTCGTAGGCAACGATTTTCGAATAAAATGTAACTATGAGCTGTATGAACTGTCGATGAACGGAGAGTACACGGCGTGGTCATGGACGACTCCCGTCAGTAATGCCTAAGTTTTGGGCTGGTATTAGTTATGTTCCCAGGTATATTTGTATCAGTGTAAAACATTCTTCTGGTATATGCTCTGACAACTTAGATTTATTATTGCAGTATCTGCTTTGGGGTTTGGTGCAGTTTTTATGCTGATCATAAATGCTATTTTGTTCTCTACTTTCGTATCATTGTATTATTATTTATTTTTTTATTATTATGTTTAAACAAATAAAAAATTTGTTGAATTTATAAAGTGTGTGTTTCATATTGAATGTGGGCTTAATAATTTCAGCTGTTCACAGGCATTGAATTTATTAGGACGTTTATGAATACTTGTGTTTAACATACTTCAAATTGTAGGCAATTTTGTATCACTAGATGATGTTGGTATTCATATATCTTACAACAGTAATCGGATTATATCAAACGAGCTCGTGTTTAAAACGTGACATTTCCCGCTACCTCTTTTTTGAAGATAGTTGTGTAGTCCGTTACTTGTGTAAAAAGTAATATTGATTTGTAAATTAGTAAAATATCTGAAGAAATATGCTATGTGAAGCTTTATTACTATAAAAAATTATGTGCGGTTTAGAGTGAGGTTGCTGTGAGTAAACTTTATAGCCAGGCCTGGTTCGCTTGATTCCGTTCCGGAAATTTCTATGTCAGAGATGAACCTCGCTCTATTCGGCTAATTACCAAAACAGCCGATGAAATTTTGCAACTGGTGGAGTAAGACCGACACGTAAGCTGTCAAGATATAGCAGAGTCATTAAACATCAATTATATGAGAGTTTGGAATCATTTGAAAAAAGCATACTACACAAAGAAGTTCGATGTGTGGGTTATATATGTTTTAACGCAAAGAAATTTGATTAATCTGCGAAATGGCACCATTTTTAAAGCGAATCATTGCGGGTGATGAAAAATGAGTTAAATACGAAAATATACAACGTATATCCAGCGACCATGGTCAAACCCTAAAAACATGGTTTGGTGGAATTAGAAGATAATGCTCTATTACGAGCTGCTCAAATCTGGTGAGACGGTTAACTTAGTCCTCTACTGCTCACAATTCGGTCGCTTGAACAAGGCAATCAAGGTAAAGCACACAGAATTGACCAACTGAGAAGCAGTTGTGTTCAAGAAGATAATACTGAGAAAAAAATTGGGCTCAAGTTAAGAAGTTATTACCGAATCTAAGCTCTATTTTGAGGTGTTCGAAGAGCATTGTAATAAATAAACTAATTTTGAGGGATTGTTGTTATTGTCGAACTTTTAGAAAAAATTTGTGTGTCTTAGCTAGACCATAGCCTTATTGACTGATCTGTTACATACTATTTATATATGTCTTAACATTTACTACTCTTCTTCTGATATTCAAATGAAACTTCATAAATATTATTTTTATAATACGAATTAATAATTTATTTATTTAAAAAAAAAAATATCATTGAATTTGATAAATTGGAAATCAGTCTTTTATATGCAAGTAAAATAATATATAAATGATAAATAATATGATTACATGAACAATATGTAATTAACAATTATTTTTAATTTATTTATAGAGAGTTAAAAAAATTTAACTATTTCTAATTTATTTAATATAAGTTTTTATTATTATTGCATTGAATTGAAGTTAGTAAATAAGAAAATGAATTTGCATATAAATCAGTGACGACCAAATATTGTGTGACGTGGCATATTTAATATCGTACCAAAAGATAATTTATTTCAAATAAAATTTGAAAAATTCTAAATAAAAACGTATATATTTTTTTTTAGTTCTACACCACAAAAATTTAGTCGCACATAAATAACAAATGGAAATAATCATCATACAAAATATTGTATTAATTTTACTAATGCGTTTATAAATATATTTTACTTTTTAATTTGACATATAAAATTATATATATATTTATATGTATATATATATATATATATAAATTATATTTCATATAAATAATATTGAGACATTTTGCTCATGCTTAATAGGTTTTGTATATTTTTTTATAACATGAGCTACATATGTATATATACATATATGCATGAAATACATATATATAAATTTATATTTGTATGTTTTTTGTATGACGTATTTTATTTCAATAAATATTTTGATTTTTTTTTTTTGGTTTTTTTCAAATATTTTTTTTTGTTAAATAAATTCATAAATTATACACAACAATTTTTATTTTAGCATTTTATAACATTTATCATAAAAATTTTGAAGCAGCATTTTATAATTTATAATATCAATATATAATTTATTTTCTCTCATATTTTTCGACTCAACAATGAATAAGTAATATTTAAAATATTTATTTGTAATTTTTAATATATTTTTTTAAATAATGTTGTTAGTTGCTTGATGAGTTACCTAAAGCTTTTATGAATTATGGAATTGAATTGATTATAATTTGGTAATTTAAATGTATAATTAAAAAATTTTAAATTTTAATTTAAAACAATTTTTTTAAGTTGAAGCTTTCATTTTTCACTGCACTTATTATTACATCAAAAAATTGAACTGTTAAATTCTATTATTAATTTATTGCAATCAGCAAATAATGTAAATTTAAAGTGTTCGCATTTAAATATTGTTTACTGAATTAAATTCATCTTCATAAATTCATTTTTATTTAAATTTTAATGTTTTTTTTTTTCAAACAAGCAATATTTGTAAAGCAAAAATGTTTAACTTGCCAAAAAAAGCTAATATAATTCTTTTTGTATAATTTATAAATCTATAATATTGTTTTATTTTAGCAAAAATAAAATTTGAATATAATTTTTAAAATTTATAACTAGCAACTTTTATACTTTTGTGCTTTCAATTATTCTGCCGAATTTACATTAATTTTATACATCAATAAATTTTTATTTATATTTATAACGTACAATTAATAATATCTTTTTGTGCCTATAAGCTTACAAATATAATATATGTAAATCTACTATTTACCATTTGTGAATTGTATAAGAAAAAAAAATAAATATATTCAAATAATAAATATATCTCATAAATGATTATTTTACAAATGTTCCAATTGAGTTAGTCAGCAGTATTCATTTTTTTAAACAAAGTATTTTTTTAAAAATGGGTAATTTTCTTAACCAAACAGATTTACTGATGCATCCATTCTCATTTAAGAGAGACTTCATTACATATAATTTATACAAACATGGTTATGACTAATTAGAAATAATTATTAACGCCATACCAATATAACATAACGTATTATATGTATATAATATCTATATAACGTATATATTATGTATAACGTATATATTATATATAGCGTATAGATTATATATAACTTATATATATTATATATAACTTATATATGTTTTATATAACTTATATATATTATATATAACGTATATATTTTATATAACTTATATATTATATATAACGCATACATTTGTATATATTAAAATGTATATACGAATATGTTATATATATTAAAAAATACTATATCCATTGATGTTTAGAAATTTCAAGTTGTTTCCAGAAATATATATAATTTCGATTTACTGTTACTAATTTGAGTTTTTGACAAAAAATATAATAAAAACTTATAAACTAATTTTTTTTAAAAAATTTTTGAATACAAATACAATTTTTATTGCAATTGCGTATATAAAAATATTTTATGCATTTAATTGCTTTTAGGAATATTAATTAAAATCAATTAACATATTTCAATATCATTAAAAAATTTAAATCAAATTGAATAAATAGAATTTATTTATATAATTTTTAAGCAATGTTTCACCAAAGATAGCGGAACGTATAAAACTTGGTCACAGTTTTTAAAAAGTTTTTCTTTTGTCAAAAATAGGTTTTTACATATACCAACTGAGTATGTAATTGAAAATTGGATTATTCATTTAATCTGTTTTTGAGATTCCAGAAAGTTCCAGATTCAAAATTTTTATATCGTTTTGGACATATCTCAAGCATCATGTCAAATACTCAAAATGATAACAAAAACCAATTTATACATTTTAAACAAAAACTTATTTTAGAAATACAAAATAGTTTCCAGATATATTAATTTAATTCATCTCTTAAAAAAAAATTTGCTTTGTTTGAACACGATATTACGTTAAAACCACTTTTATAACAACAAAACTATTAGTTTTTTAAGTTTATAAATAATTTTAAGAATAAAGCCAACGTTAAAAAATGCATTAAAACTTATTCAGAATTTGATAACTTTCAAATTTATATTCATATTTTACAGAATCCTAAACAATTTATTTACTTTTTTAAAATAAAATACATACTTAAATATTTATAATTTTTTTTTAAATTATAATTTTTTAGAAAAGCTTTTTTTAAATAAAAATTTTTAAAAAAAGCTTTTTTTAAATAAAAATTTTTAAAAAAAAGTTTTTTTTCAATTAAAATTTTAAATAAAATTTCTTTAAATTAATATTTTTAAAAAATTTTTAATATAATTTTGTACGGGTTAATTTGTGAATGTTAAATAATATACTACTTTTTAAATTTGTTGTAAAAAATATTTTAATGGATCAAAAATTTCGAATATGGTCTATGATGTTGTCTAGGAGACTCGGCCGCTCTTGGCAGTACTACAGTCTATAGTTATCTTAAGTGTACATGAGCACTTTTATTATATCAAGAGCAGCATAAATATATAATTTTCATTAAAAATGTTTATATGTATTTGCCGTTTGATTTTTATTATATTCTAGTAGTATTTATTTTTCCTAAGTATTGAATTTGTTACTATATTATAATAAATTTTATTATATAAGTACCATAGAAATGACTATAAATTAAATGTAGTCGAAATATCGGTGACAATAAAATATTAAATTAAAATAAATTCAAAAATATATTATTTAATATTGACCAATAAATCCGTACGAAAATATATGAATAAAATTTGATCATTTAAACCAGGGCTGTCTAAAGTACGGCCCGCGACTACTGTTTGTGCGGTACGCGACGTATTTTTACTATACTACAATTACGTAAATTTTCTCTTGTTGTACTGATAAAACTACATTACTTTATTTTTATTAAATACCAAATAAATTACTTTAAATTGATAAATTAATAAAACTAAATATAACATTTCAATCGTATTTATAATAACAACTATGAACGTATGTATTTGTTTCTTCGGCCCTCCAATCTGTAAAGACAGCCCTCGTTTAAACCATAAATCACAAATTTTGTTTTTAAAATTAATATTTTTAAAGATTTAAATTATTTTTTTTTCAACTTCTCTACTTCATTGGCTTAACTACTATCAATGCATCGTTTTTTTTTCTTTGATAGTCTATTTATTTTTTTCAAAAACTCACAAATGGTAAATTTATTCGAATTTTCTATAAAATTATTTTTAGATAAAAAAAAAATTATGTTTTTATTTTATAACTAATATAAATTAAAAATTTAACTTATAAAAAATTAAAATTAACTTTAAAAATAAGCGTTTAGGTCTTCAGTTAGTTGCACTGCCAAGTTTCACTGAAACAAAATGTCTTAGGTTAATTTATGATATGCTTCTGTAGATATGTTGGCAGTAGTAATTTTTAAATATTGACCTGTATTGACAATTAAAAAATTAAATTAAAATATTAACACTATATGCGACTATAAATATTTTTACACAATACACATACAATACATACAATAACAAAAAGCTGATATATGGCATATAAGCAAGCTTTTCCACTAGTTTAACATATTACACTAATTACTCTTTTCATTACAATTAAATTACAAAATTTGCTAAAAGTATTATAAGTTGAAGCAATTAATTACATCTATAACATATATTATTATTTCTATGTTTATGCATTAATATATAATAATATAATATATATTTATATAAATATTGACTAAACATTTTACTGCTGAGTAAGAAACAGTTTTTGTGCTCTATTCGTCTTTTTCTTTGAAATGATGATAATGATGATGTATGTGTTCATGTACATAACGATGTATCAGCGATGAGGCGCTTGTATTGGCTGTACTGCCAGTTGTTGCAATTGCAGCTGCATTCGTAGGACTTAAACTATCACCACTCTCAGTTTCTTCTTCCGCTTCCTCCTCCACTGCATCCACTTCTTCTTCATCAGCACAAATTTTAATGCCATTTGTGTTGATTTGTAGCTCAACTACTGCTTCTGCATCATCAGTCAAATCAACTAAAGTCCCGGTTGCTACGTGAGCTTTAGTCTCGCAACACTTTTCCTGTGCTAATAGCGCTTGAGCTGCTTCCTTGCAGGGTGTTAATAGTTCATTCGAGGTTTCTTCATCTGTTGTTTGACCTAGTAGATTTTCGCATTCAATAGGATCACCGTTCAATGGTAGCATTTCTATGTAATCGATTTTATCAGTCGCTTTTTCATTGTTACTGCTACTTTCGGTTGATTTGCTGGAATTGTCAGCACTGTGTGATTTTACCAAATTTTGTTGGCGCCTTTGTAGTTTGTGCTTGCGACGTTGCAAGTTCTCCTTATTGGCGTAATAATCAGCATTGCATGAATTCTCTTGCAGTTTCTCGCCAAGTCTTGCATAAAGTAAATTATCATAATTTTTCGCATCCTTCTTTGATTTATGACATTTCTCACGCGCACTCAGCCATTTTGCTAAATGTTCCATTTGCGATCGTTCCACGCTGGGATATTGCAAGTTCAATGCAGCCAAATTTGTTTTTGTAGCTGCCAATTGTTGCAAATGTTGTTGCTCCTGTGCAGTTGAACTAAGGCGTTGGTAACCATGATGTTGTGGTGAATTGTGTGTTGTACTGTGGTGGGTTTGTGAATATGAACCACTACGTAGTATTTTACTAGTTTTAATTTGATTATTTGTTGTTGTTGTTGCTGCTGCTGGATTTGAAAATATTTTTGGTATTGCATTTGGATATATAGGAACTGCTGACATTAATGGTTGTACAGTTGCAATTGGTTGTTTTAGTTGTTGCAATTGTTGTTGTTGGTGGTATTGTAGCTGTATGGTGGGTTGATTACTTATCATTTTCGTAGTATATGCTGTTCCTGCTGTTGTTGTTGTTGTTAATGTTGGTGGTGGTGGTGAATGGCTTGTACCGCCACCACATATTGTTGCATGCAAAAAGGAATCATAACCGCACAGATTCATTTTGTTATGGCCAATATTATTTTGTGCGGCCAAGACAGCTGGATTAATGGCCATTTGCTGATGGTAAATGGGAATGTGTGGTTGGGGATGGTACAGGCTGTTGTTGCTGTTGTCGTGCATGCTTAATTCGAAGTTGTTGTTGCTGCTGTGGTTGTTGTTCGAATTGATGTTGAAGCTGTTGCTGTTGTTGTTGCTGCTGTTGTGCGTGTGGTTGATAATGGAATTGTTGTGGTTGGAAATTAAGGTTGGTATTTTTGACACCGTGTTGGAGCGTTGACGATGTTGTTGTTGTGACTGCTGAGACTGTTGATGATGCTGCGGTTGCCTTATGGGACTCACATTTGCTTGGGGTTTTCTGTAAGTGTCAATAAAAAAAGGGTTAAATTGTGTTTAATTAGTGCTTTTTGTATGAGTTCGGTTGAAGTGAAATTTGATTGATGTGATAACTCAAACATACTACTTTACACGTGCTTATAAGGGAGGGTGTGAAATGAACGTATGATTTCTTTTTTGTGGTTGTTTTATTACTACGCTGCAAATATTTGTTGAAAATTTAACAATATACATATATATTTTTTTAAATTCCTCAACTAAATTTTAACAGAAGCCAATAATTATTAAAGCTGAAGTCATGACTTCAATTAATTTTAAGAATGCTTTCAAATTATTAAAAATCATATTAGGTTCTACACCTCATTACATTTTAAAACTAAACATAAAAGTGAAATTTCTCAAAAACAAAAAAAATAAAAAAAATAAAAATTATAAAAAACAGGGATGTTGCAAAAAAAATTCATAATGCATTATACAAATTAACATAAAAACGTATTGATTAATTTAGTTCCTTAGAAAGAAGCAAATGTGCTAAGTCAAAAATTTAATTAAAAAATTAAATTTTTAATTACGATACTTTTCAGATGCTATTAGTTAAAATTAATAACTTATTGAAAAATGATTAATAAATAAAATCAAAATAAGGACAAACTTAAGCTTAAATGTGATTACTTGTGTGAGTTTTGTCTCTTACCCGTTGAGTTGAAAACACAAGCGATTCTTTTCCATGCTCTCTCTTATGATACCAATTAAATCATTACGATTCAATGCAGTCTTCCAGCACTCCGCCGAGTTTCGTTTTACAGCTGCCAACATGGCTGGATTTCTACGCGGATTACGTAGCTGTACGCCATCTATAACATCTACATGTTGCTCCTGCTCTTGCTGCTGGAGCAAAGCTATAGTTTTTGCTGTCATTTGTATTTGTTGCATGGGATGACGATTCTTCCAACACGATTCACTACCAAGTGATAGGCTACGTTGTCTTGTCTCTTGACAATGATCCTGATACTATTTATTCATGCAAGGTTGTGGAAAGGTAGCGTATTTTTTTTTTACATCCATGATTTATTGTGCATGTTGTTAAGTTGTTTTAGTATGAAAAAATAAAAAGAACATGAACAAAATAAATTAATTTAATTAAAATAATTAAAAATATAAAATAATATAAATATGATTCGAAATTAATTATTAATAAACGAAATATAAAATAATGTTAAAAGTACTTCTGTTAAAATAAAACTGCACAGAGAGATAGAAGAGTGAAAGGAAGATTGAATTGAGTGCGAGAACATCTAGAACAAAAGACATCTTCGTAAAGAGCAAAATAAAAAAAATTATTTTTTCCTTTTTTTTGTTTTTTGTTATGAATTATTAATTACTAAGAACTATGAAAACTAAGAACTATAAATTTCTTTCAAAGAATCGATGTTTTTTGTATTTAAAAAATATTACAAAACTTTCAATGGAAAAGATTATAGAAGACAAACCATAACATCTTGTCATCTTACAAATTGTACTTGAGGTATCCACTAACTCTAAGTACAGCTTTCAGAACAAAGCATCCATCATTTGTTTATAACAAATATTTTTTATTATTAATTTTAAACCACCTAACGAATAACATTAACACCTCAATAAGATTCTACGATATTTCTGATATCCTAAGATAATTTTATAGTTTTTGATAAATATTGAAAAAAAAAATGTAAAAGTGCTAAAATTAAAAAACAACAACTCTGTACTTAGGCTACTTTCATCTTGTGTTTGCTGCTGCAGGAAGAAATAGTTATGTACCCACCTTTTGTTTACGTGCCTTCCTCAGCATTTTGACGCGTGTTGATGCTTGCTTCATGTAAATATCTGTTGTCAGTCGAGCATGCCCATTGGCATTTCCGCTGGTTGTAGGAGTTGTACCACTAACACAACCGCGACAATCTTCCGTTGAAAGCGGACTATCCTTGGCGTAACATTTGAGATTCCCTGTCACATTCTCATATAAATTATCTAGCTGACAGTTATTCACTGACGTTGATAAATCTAAATTTTGTTCCATATTTTCCTGTTGCTGTTGTTGGCAACACTGTTGCTGTTGTTGTTGTTGTTGTTGTTGTTGCTGTAGCTGCTGTTGATGTGCCTGCTCCATTTTAATTTTATTATATTTACTACTTTTTGACTTGCCACCACCAACAGCAGCTACAGTAGCCAATTCCTTCTCTTTTTCACTATTGCTATCATCATCTTCTTCATCTGACTTAATTAGTTTTCGCGGACGATAACGATGTTGACGACGTGTATGTCCATGTCCACCATGTCCGTGTCCATTTACAGTCGACGTTGCTGTTAGGCTGTGTATTTTGCCATTGGCATGAGGTAGTACACTTACTGTGGCACCATTATTGCCACCATTGTTTGCTGTCATTTTCTTTAGTTTGTTGCCACTTGTTTTGGTCTTCCCTTCAGGACTTACAGTCAGACGCACATTTATTGTTTTGCTACCACAATGCGGTACCACAACTGACTTCCCAATGGACTCGTATATCGTATAGACGATGCCGACAATGTCATCTTTTGTAATTTTTCCATGATGTCCGTCGAGATCGTAGAATGTAAATGAAAATTGCAACGGCTGAGATGATTTGCCACCCTCAACGGAAACGTCACAAGTGAATTCCTGTAATTTGAAAAGAAATATGTATAGTAAATTAAGTTGAATAAATAGGAGTGAAAAATAAATTTGTATTTAATATAGTTAATATACTTTTTTAATTAAAGTGCACTTAAGGGAGTAAAACAAAATGTTGATGATTTTGATGGTGATTTTCCAGTCATCAAAGAATAACATTTTATAAACAAAATTATGTTTTATTAAATATAGCTTAATTTATATTCTCACGATATGGTAATTTATATTTATATTATTTATACTAAGAAAAGTATATATATATATATACTTTTAAATATATTCAAACTAAACTGTTTTTGTCGTTATTTTAATATAATCATATCTCGCTTCGTTTCTTGTCTCAGTGCAAGAGCGACAAATGGTTTTTATATTTGTACTCATAATTGTCTCTAAGAAATAATAATAATAACTAAATTACAATATAATCGAACTGCATACAAACCGTACTTATACAAGAATCAATGGAAATAAGTCTGCCGATTACTTAAACCCCTCATAAACGAATTCGTCAGGATGACTATATCGCACATAATGGGCTTAAATTAATAACGAATCAGTTATTTTAGTAAAAGTCTATATCATTAAGAGGTCACTATCTGCTAACCATAAATGTGAGTGCTTATAACAGAAAATTTCTGGTGCTTAGCATTAAGTGATAGTATGAAGTAGAATCATTACTACTGACCAACCGTTCTATAATAGACAAATAAAGCGTCCAGGCTTGGTGTAGTTTTCTATTGTAATTCAGCAAGTTTGTGATAAAGAGGTGATTTACAAATGATTTTAAACTGTACTGAAACTCCTGACTGAAATTTAATGTAAGCAGTTTTGAAAAACATTATTTCTTATTAATACATCTATGAAAGTTTTGATATAGAATTGATTTTCGTTATTAATATTATATGATGTATAGATTATGTCAATATTTAGATTTGTGCGGAAAGAGAAATTATATATTATAAAATAGCACTGATCTTGCCAGTTTTTTACCAACTAATTAGAAGTGAAAACCCGTGAGGCTATTCGGGTTTTAGGACTCTTTATCTTTTTTCTACTGATTTCGTTAAGTATTGAAGGATTCATATCTGAATGGTATTTATTTTATACTTATTTATTTTTACAATTCATAATTTATTTACATATATATATATATATATATATATATACAATTTTTTTGAAAAATTATTAAATAAATAATCTTAAATGTGCGGATAACCACAAATATTCAACTCAACCATAAAATTTGTTAATAGAATTTAAATGTGAAAAAATTAGTGTTTTTGTTGAAAACATTTATATACCCCTTCTTTCCCCCCAAAAGTAATTAAAATATACTTTTGGCAAATTAGTCCACCTACTGTGCGATTTTCAAACCCACATGTGGCACATGTTTTGATTGCATTTTACAAAATTTCTGAAATAATTTAAGGCGCCAGAACACAGTTTTATGCAACTATAAAATTATACTTTTAATTACACAATTAAATTTGTAAAAATATTATTATTTAGTTTACAGGTCAGTATGTGAAGTGTAATTATTTTGAAATTTTATATACTCAATAAAATAAATGAATATTTTAAATGCAAGTATTTTTTTTTTTGTTTTCTACAAAATTACAAATCAGTGGAATTTTTTTATTTATTTATAACGTAATGGAATATTTTTTCCATTTTACAATGCAGTAGCATTCTAAAGTTTCTAACATAAATTTTATAAATTAATTATTTGTAATTGAAGTTTTTTAATTATAATTACTAGTAAAACGTATATGAAAATTGTAAAATAAAACAAATGCTTATAATTTATTTATATTGTTTAATTATTTTATATATATATGATATGTTATAACATGCCATAATAAAAAACTTTAGTAAAACATTACTAAATTATATTTATATATAGTTTATATAAAATTTGACTCGAGATTTCCAAACAATCTTTTACAATCAAGTTATCTTAGGACGATGTATTCAAAAATTAAAAGTTTCAAAACATCTTAAAGTTATGGCTATAGAAAGAGAAAGCGAGCAGCGTACAAGTGTCGAACAAGCAAGCTATTACAGAACTCCCCAGATTAGCCCCCTATTACAGATCTAGATCTAGACACAATCACCAAAATTGAGTGATTGTTCACATTTAACATTGGTTTCTATCCATTGGTTTATCAAGTAATCGACCTTAATTTATAATGAATGTAAAATATTTTCTATCTTATTTGGAAGCGTCGACCTCTTTTTACTGCACACATGTCTCTAATCATTAAAATAGTTACCAGCTTACTTATTTAACGGTATTATTTATGTTGTTAAAGGCATGTATTTGGTTTCACATATGCCTTCAATAATATAAATAATTTTAATCAATTTAATATAGCTATTAAATATTACAAATATGAGGTACATTGATGAAAAGAAAGTCTTAAACCAATTCAGTTATGTACAGTAACAGAATGAGCCAAAACCAAACACTTAGCCATGTTGTAGCCTTTAGAAGTTCGTAGCCCAGAGCGGCTGAAGCTGTCCTATTCCCAAAAATAATCAAATGATTATATTTATACATATGTATACTTATTATTTACGCATTATGACTGCTTATTAAAAAGAAGAAGCATTTTTTTAAACTACCAAAATTTGGTAAATTTGGTTTTTGTGAACTACTTATACCGATTTTCATTAAAAAGTGAAAATACTGAATAATTTTATGTTAAATCATTGGTTTTTTGATATAACAAATTATAAATTATTAAATTATATTACAATATAGTATCGGGTATTTTTTTTAGTTGCATGAGAACTATCGATATCGGTAACTATAGTTTGACAACGGAGAATGTCAAACTCTGTTGATATTTCTCTTTAGTAGGGTTTGGCAATTCATTATAAATCGTTTAACGCTAAAAAACGCTTCTAAATTGTGGAAATTTACTTCCAAAACGAACACTTCGTTCGTTTTACGGTTAATGACGATCTTAAGTAATGAAGCTCATTTCTGGTTAAATAGCTACCACAATAAGTAAAATTGTCGTATATGGAACGAAGACAATCCCCAAGCAGTTAACGAATCACTATTACATCATTTAAAATTGACTTTTTGGTGCAGTTTATACGCTGGCGGCATTATCGTTCCTTATTTCTTTCGATATGAGGAAGGAGCTGCTATTACGGTTAATGGTGAGCGTTATCGAGCTATGCTAACTGAATCTTTGTTGCCAAAAATTTATGAGGTAAACAACGACGACATTTAGTTTCAACAAGAAGGTCATACAGCTTGCTTAACAATTTATTTATTGCGATATCAATTTGGTGACAACTTTATTTCTAGAAGTGGTCTTGTTAACTGACCCACTCGTTCGTGCGATTTACCGCTTCTTGATTACTTTTTATAGGGCTTTGTTAAGTTATTGGTTTATAAAGACACGCCGACGAACCAGCAACACTTGAAGTATTGAAAGCCAATGCTTATGGTACATTGATGCCATAGAGCCATATTTATTGCAAAAATTGTCAAAAATTGAACTAATCGACAATTTAACTCATAGCTGCGGCGGTTATATGCCGGAAATGATATCCAAAAAATAAATGTCATGAAATTATTAACCATATTATAAAAAAAAAATTTGATTCCAACAATATTTCTAACCTACAATATCATTTTAATTTCTCATACAACTAAAAAAACACTCGATTTACAATTTTGTCATTCATTATACTATATTTGTTAAATTGGTTATATTAGCGGATTACTGTACAGCGGTTTGAAAAAACTATTTATTTTAAAGAATTTCAGGTAAAGCAAAGTGTAATCTAATTTTTTATTAGTATTTTTTTATTTCTTTAATTTGTATTCCTTGTTTTTTTTTTTAAAATTGTCCAAGGAATTTATGTTAACGTGAGGAGAAAAGAAATATTAATTAATTGGATGACTTGATTACTTCATTGTCTCAAAGTTTTATATAAAATATATTCTTATTTGGAATTTAATTGCTTCGTTATAAATTAGGATGATTCAACCAATAATTTGGATTAATTTTTTTTTTTTTATCTTAAATATACACAAAGTATTTGCATAATTAAATCATTAAAAATTAGTGTTTTACACATTTTATGGATTTCAATATAAACAAAAAAAGGTTGGGATAAAATGAAAAGATGATCTTGTTAGGAATCAAAGGCATAAATTTCGTTGACATATTCGATGGAAAGATTTTGATTTTATTGCAATAAGCATGCAATTCGGATTAATATAATTAATGATATGTGGTGAATATAATTGATGAACGGAATTTCAAATAAAATAAAAAATTATTTTTTATGTTTTGATGATTCATTAAAAATGTTTGAACAAGCACAATAAATTTAAACTTTAATTCCCAGAAATATGCACCCGCAGAGCAGATCCCATGCTAAGACCTAAGACTACGAAAAAAAATCAATTTTTAAAAAATACTTTCAATCGCGCCAAATGAACGCTTTAATGGCAACGCTAGAATAATTGCGCATATGCATTTAATTAAGAGGAAAGCAAAATAAATTTCGATAAAATATTTGTTTGAAAAACTGATTGAAACAATAACAAACACAGCAGTCAAATCATAATACTTGAAGTTAAGAAAAATTAAAATGTTTTTAATGTGCGGAATAAAGAAAACAATAACAAAAACAAAAACAAAACAAAAGCAACAACAACAAACAAAAATAAAAACAAAATTGCCAATGGCGCTTAAAATGTACGCTCGTATAAACAAAAGCAAAGCGAAGTAAAAAATTAAAAAAAAACAAATAAAACTACAAAAACAAAACAAATAAAAATGTTAAATAAAAAATGAAGCACAAATTAATATTGCATACTTTGGAGCGCGCTAAGAAAAGAAAAATCTAACGCAAATAAAAGTACTCGAGATTGCTAAGGTGGCAGCGACGGCATGCATGTGATTTTCAGTCGTTCTCATCCTCCTCCTCCGCAATCATTTTCTTTTTATGATTGTTTGGTGTGTGAGTTGAGGCGCAAGACGGCTGTAAAAAATGACGGATATATCAATAAAACGGTTCATTTGTACTTTTAAATGCGCTGGTAAGGAAATGCCACTGCAAGCTGAAGCAAAACACGCTTCCTTTTCCACTGCTTAATCTTTGCAATCTTGGTTTTTTTTTTCTGCCGTGAAAAACTGGGAAAAACCGAGAAAAATACTTGAATTCTTTTTTCTTAACATTTTCATGCTTTGTTGTTACCAAATCGCTGTGCTAAACATATGAGCTTAAATGTCATTTTTCCTACTGACGTTTATGTAGCATTGAAGATTAAATAAAATAAGCATAAGATAAATGCCATTATACGCTTGACGCTCTTCCCTTACCGCTTGAGATGGTAGCGAATTTAGCATTACTTTCGGCTCATTTACAATACTTACACAACGACATTGCATTCAGCTTAAGAAAACATCTCAAAGAAACAAATTTCACTGTTGTAAATTTTACAATTTACAATTTAGCATAATTCACTTTCTCGTAGAGTATAAGTTACGCCATCTTGCCGTAACGAATGCGGAAATGTCGCTATTGTCATACCCATTCTTACATGACAGACGGCAGCGCCATCTACTGCTGCTAATGTCGTAAAAGTCAGCATGGCGTAATAATTGTAAAATACCTTTAAAGATTATCACCAGTTTAAATTTAAGCATTATTTGCACTTCCACAGTATTTCGGCTCAAGTGGTTCTCCTCTGCGTTCGAAAGAATTATTTTTTGTAATTTTTTTTTTGTTTTTTCAACGTTAATTTTATTACTTAAATTTGGTTTTCACTTCTTGCTTCCGTTGGGTTTCTAGCTCCTTGGTTCGTACATAAGTGGGTAACTTTTTATGTACGTGAACACAAATACCAATCTTTTTTATATATTAATTTGACATTTTTATGGGGTTTTATTTGAATAAAGTGGAGATTATTAAAAAGGTTTAATTGCTTTGGTGGCTTAGGGAAATTTAAAAATTTGATCGTTTTCAACAAATTAACAATTTGTGTTAATAGGAATTAAATATCATTGTGAGTACAAAAATTACATTTAAAAAAAAAAAAATTAAAATTAAAAACAATTTTTAATTTGAAAAATTTAAATTTAAAATTAAAATGATAAAAACAACAAATATTTAAATGTTAATTTTTTTTTAACAATAATGATTTTATTCAATAATAAGTTTTTCTTGCCAAGAGTGACGCGCCTTTATGACGAAAAGAATATTCGAATATGGCGGATTCGAATAGCAAAGAAAAGATAAACACAAAAATTTTTAGTTAATTAATTGAAATTTGGCTGACCATACAACGCTGTTTCGAATATTGCCAATGCTGAATACTTGGCATAATTTTATTCATTCTGAACTTATATTATTTCACTTAATAAGGCCGGATGACACATAGTTGACGGTACTATTGAGAGAAGTATAGTTGCTTATATCGCACTAATAAAATCGAAAATAGGATAGCTATATCATTATTATTATTATTGTTAGGCGATGTGGCACTGCGACCTTCGAGTCTATTGCGCCCCCTTCTGAACTTAGATTAGGTCTCTAAACCCTATTACGTCAATAAAAGTAGTATAGAACCTACTTTACAGAGTTTTATTGCCTCTTTCGTAAGAATATACATTCCCAGGAGCCTATTCCGTATGTACATTGGCTATATCACACCCAACCACAATAAATTAATATCTGAACAACTCTGACAGTTACAGATGAATATAATTTTTAAAAAGTGTTACGTTTTAAACGGTACGTGCCAAAATTGTGTTAAATCTCAGATTTAGTTGTCAAGTTACAGTAGTTTAAGGGCCATGTTATAGAGACGACATATGAAAAATATTCGTAGCACTGTTACGCTCTCAGCGGTCATAACCAAAATACATGATATAGAAAGAGTCATATCACAATTGTCAATTTTGTATTTTTACTATTATTTTGTTATCTTAAATGTAAGAGGTCATTGCTTTTGTATGGATATGCTTACATTTCCACACAAAAATGCACATATTTAATCGTAAAAGGCACAAATTCTAACATTTATTATTTAACAACACTGTTTTATTCAACGTGACAACATAAGGGCTATGTTAAGTAGAGTGTCAAGGGCTGGTCAAAATTGTCTCTTTTGGGGTTTGACTAAATAGGCATGTTATGTACAGCTTCACAGAAAGCATAATAATTTGCTTCTAAAAGACACAAATGTTGACATTTATAACTGAATAAGACTGCTTAGCTTAATTGACGAGGCTTAGATAGCCTCGGTACTCATGACCAAATTTGAACCGAATATTGTTTTTTTTTTCTCACTCTCAATTTAATGACACTCATAAGGACCATGGCACTCAAAATAACGTGGTTCTTAAGGGGTGCCACCTCTCCATAGGTTCGCCTTAGTTAAGCACATGTACGGTATTAACAGCACCTATTACATACTGAGCCACACTGATTTCTCAAAAAAAAACATAGGACAAGCAAAATTCCTATGGTGATAATTCTGTTCTGTCAACATTTATGGGACATTTGCCGAATTTAAACATGGAAATGTCTCGATATTTCACACAATTTTTTGTATTGTTTTTTTATAGCCAAGATATGTCTTCATCTTTGAACTCCAACTAACAAGGCAGCATGCTATATATAGTAGTATCAAAAGATGTGTTGTACCTAAAAAATACCCAACATCGATCTGTGTGTTATAGGGAAAAATTCATAATTTAAGCTCCTTCCTACAGGCATTGTCGCTTCTATATGCAGTTGGATATAGACAAAAATAATGACTTGGATTATGGCTACAAAAAGCGCAATTGTGGTTGGATCAGGTATACTTTCAGAAAGTGTAACAGAAAGGTATTATGATGCGATCCAATAGGTTCTGGATATTTCAGTGTTAAGGCTATTTTACATGGAGGAGAACGAGAGCTATGAAATGTGTAATATTTTTCGAATGTTATCGTTGTCCACATATGCAAAAATCTTGATTTAAATTATCGGGTGCTCTAGGAAGACCGAAATATTTTACCATAATCATTTCATGTATATATATTACATTTAAAATATAACTTTATTACTTTAACTGTATATGTAAATTTTTGTGCATATTTGTAGAGATGGTTTTTTATAGATACATTTTAAATAAATGTTGATTGTTGAAGTGAAATAAAAATAATCTTAAACAATAAACTTTATAGTTTTTTGCATTGCACTTACTTCTAAACGTATACGTTCATCCTTATTATGTGGCGGTTGGGAATGACGTTGTTGCTGCGACTGTTGTGGTCCATCGACTTCATCCTGCTGTTGGTGTTGGTGTTGTTGCAATGTCTGTTGCGGTGTTGAAGTGTTTGTATTTACAAGTTTACTACTATTTTTGCTATTCATCTTTAAGTGTTTACTAGTTGTGTCTTTTGTACCATTCTGTAATTGTTGCGGAATATGTTGCTGGTGCTGCAGTTGCTGGTGGTGGTGTTGCTGATGTTTTTGCGAACTACCGCTGGCATTAGTCGATGTTGTTATTATGTTAACAACAGGCGATCTAAGCGGTATATTATTTTCGCGATCGCTAACAAGCAATAAATCAGGTGGTGCACTGCACGAGGATGAGGCGCGCACTTGATGATACATTAGCTCCTCTGAGTCTGTCGTGCATTCTTGTACTGTTAATGAGAAAAAGGAGGAAAAACAAAATTAAATAAAATTATGTGTGAGATAAGGCAAGTAGAAATTAACTACGAGAGACCTGTCAGTGCTGACAAAACTTTTTGTGTTTCCTGAAATATGCGCAATATAAAATTACGTAGTTAAAATAACAACTTCATGATTCATGATTCATGCTCTTCAGTATTACAAAACGAGCTAACGCATTTTAAAATTATGTTCACAAATCCACACTATTTCCAACTTATCTTGGCCGGCGTATCTTTCAGGGAAGGCGGCAACTGCAAAATTTAGTGCTACTTCGCATGCAATTTCCCGCCGCCGTGCCTGCCTTGTCATTACTACAAGTACATAATTTTTTTTTTTGTTATTTTATTAGCAACAGAAAAACAACATAAAAGGGGTCAACAACTATTAAAAAAATAAAAAAAATGAAAAAAAAATTAATTAAAAACAAAAAACAAAAAAAAAATTCATAATATTAAAGTAAAAGAAAGCACATTATGAAAGTAGAGACAACCCATTTCGCATTAAGAATTTGTAATTAATTGTGGCAAATGTGTTGGCGGCTCTGTAATTAATAATAAAAAATAAAGTGCCGAAGTGAAATGTAAAAACAAAAAACAAAAAAAAAAAAATAATAATAATGAAAAAAAAATATTCTGAATGCCTTTTTGTCTTTGTAATTACAAAAGTTTGCCGCCACATGACTCACTTAAGTACGCTTTTTCACTATTTTTCACATTCATTCGACGCTTTTGTTCGAATTAATGAAATCGCTGACAGCTTTTGTGTTGACATATTGCCCCAAGTATATTTCCTCTATTCGATTTCTACTTTAACGGCTACTGTAGCTACACTTTCGGTTTAATGTTTCTTGGATATTTGGTTGCTGTGTCGATTTGGCCAGCCCAGCCCCGCTCCACTCGCCCGACCATTCTCACTGTCTTCAGCTGCTGCTGCTGCTACTGTGACACAGCACGATCGAAGTGCTTAAATTGCAATTTTCGGTTTCCTTATGTAGTTTGGACATGCAATTTACAAGGAAAAGGTTTTTACTCCTCTGCAGTAATTTCAGCTATGACCGCTCCATTTCCTGTAATCAATTACACTCGCGCTGGTAATTTGGCAGCACTTTTCTTTTGCTTACCATTTGCTATTTTCAGTGTTAGTTAACACATTGTTTTTGGTTTAAGTGGTAGCACATTTTGTGACAATTAAATTAATGTTGCTAAGCTGCTGAAGAGGTGGCGGGCGGAAGAGGAGGAAGAAGGAAGGATGCAGTCAGTAGTGAATGATGCGAAATAAATGTGTTAAGGCAGTTACGAAATGGAATAAAAGCTGAAGTAGCTAAAAATAGATTAATTGGTCATTTTTAATTTACGACTATTTGTAATTTGCTTAATGAAAGAAATTAAAGTTTAGCCAAAAGAGAATAGAAATCAGTTTTCTGTTAAACATTATCTTTTGTAAGACTTTAAAGATATTTCTAATTGCTACTGCAAATAAAGGAAAGTTAACACTAACGTAATTAACTCGACATATATGCAGCAATCCTAGGATCGTAGATATTTTCTTTTTTTCAAATACCCTCTTTCTCCTACAAGAAACATGTGCAGTAATTCCTCAGAGAAGTACGTTATCTTATCGAACCATAGACTTTTGCCTCAGTTATTTGTCATACCAAATCTATAAACATCTGAAATCGATATTTTTTCATATAAAATCCATACAAAAGTAAAGCATTTCGTGGTAAATATAGTAAAATGCTTCCAATTTTGAAATCAACCTACAGTACGCATTCATCAATACATCCTTATGCAAAAATAACCAATTCGCTTCCTAAAACTATGAATAGATTTCAATTAATTAAATAGATTATAAAAATAGACAAAAAAACTTGGAACTTGAGCATAGAAAGTTTGTGTAGTCATCGTTTCAAATCCGATAGGTACGAGTTCTAAGCCTGGCAATTGCAGTCCAACGAATTATAAACGGACTATTAACTAATTAAATAAAAATCTGAATATTTTCTAAGACCACTGCTAGTGGAAGACTGAAAAATCTACCAAACACCTACATAAAATAGATATATCAGACACTAATATTTGCAGATTCTGCTGTGATGAGGAAGAGTCTATGGAACATCTAATCACCAACTGTGATGCACTAGGCCACAGAAGAAACAAAATTTTAGGTACTTACCAACTAGAGGATGAAGACATTCGAAAGCTCCCTCAGAAGGAGTAAATATCTAGATACAAAGGGTGCACAATAGATCAAACCGGTCGCAGTGCATAGGGGCCTTAGCCTAACCCGAAAACCCCCAAATACCATTACCATTAAAAAATCTAGGACAGTGGTTTAATAAAAGTTCAGGGTCGCTTTTCTACGTATCGGTCGACAAAACAAAAATATCAATCATATCAGTCAAGGTTCGATGCGAATAAGACACTTAGTAGAAGAAGAAAGAGGTTATAATCAGGGTTCGTATTTGCTCACTCATGAGCAGCTCAGGCTCATGAGCAAGAGCCAATTCTTATGTGAGCCCAAAATTAGCTCATGAGCGTGAGCCCAAAATTGGCTCATATTGAAGAGCTGCTCACCAGCGTGAGCCTTCAAGTTGCTCATATTGAAGAGCTGCTCATGAGGTCTCACGAGCCGAGAGCTCACGAGCTCAACTGTTTAATAAAAAGCGATTTATTTGTTTATTTGCTTTATTTATTTTTATAAACGTTATATGTGAAAATATATAATTTGAAATTAATTTAGCTTATTATTATTTATATTAGAACAATATAATGAAATAATAATTTGAATTTGAAAAACAAATTTATAAAATATTATTATTTTCCACAAACAAACAATACAAATATATTTATTGTTTATTTTAAGAACTTTGATTATTTCCATATTATAGTTAGTTCATGATTATTAATATTTTAAATCTTTTTTAATGACATGTTTTCACAATAAAACAAAAAATAATAAAATCTTAAATTGGGCGCATGAGATCTCATGAGCCGCAGCTCATACTCTTGCTCGTGAGCGTGAGCTCTGTAGTTGGGCTCGCTCGTGAGCGTGAGCCATCGTATAAAAAGAGTTTTATGCCGGCTCATGAGCCGTGAGCCGAATGAGCCAAAATGAGCCGCTCATGGATACGCAAATACGAACTCTGGTTATAATATATTGTATACTAAATCTACAACCCAACCAACTAGGCACAATTAGCAATATATAGTATTTAAATGTTTTAACATGTTTTTTTAATAAGTAAATAAATATTTTGCGCAATTTTTGTTTACAATTAAGACTAATGGAAATTGGAGTAACTATGTTTGTCAAAATATTTTTATCTACATACTGTTTTCATGTATTAATGTTTCACAATATAAGCATCTAAAAACGTGTTACCAAATCATTTAACTTGACTTCAACTAATACTTTTTTTCTTTTTTTTTTAAATCATGTCTAGTACTACTTGTTGCATTTATTTGCGATTGACTATATTTTATCTTATCACGCAAACCGAGTACAACTTTTTGAACACAATTTCTGAGCTACTTTATTTAGCAATTCACTTTCAAAAATTACAAAAACCTTACAATGAAGTTGAGACATATCGCAAGCAAGCAAAATTTGATTGACACTTTGAGGTAATACAACAAAACAAAAAAATTATAAAATATTTCCAAAAAAAAAAAAAAATGAAACAAAAACAGAAAAAGGTAAAATAGTAAAATATATCAAGAATCATGATATTTTGACGTTGAAATTAAAAACTTATTGACATTGAAATACCAGGGAAGCACCTATACGAAATACTTTAAAGAATATTGCAAAAAGTGAAAAAATTATAACACGCAAGATAAATAATTTTTTTTCATCATCATTTCTTCATTGTATCCATATTGTAAAAAATAATATAAGTTTGTCAAGACGTTCGTAACCCAGTACAAAAGATTTTAATAACCAAAGCTTTTAATTACATTGTAATAATTATATTCTGATTTTTAAGAAAAACTTTTATTTCATACATATAAAAATATTTGTCTTACATCTTTTTTTTTGTAATAAATGTTTCTGGAAATAATATATTATTATAATCTGTTAATCTAGCTATAATTTTTAACCTATTAAAGGTTCGGAAAGACACTTTGCACCGAGCCTCTATCGGGAAATAGCTAAAATTATTATAGATTCAAATTCATATAAAGTCTGTTTCCTGAGCTACTAGAAGAGCGCCTGAGAGAATATAACATATCTGTCGAAATAACTGAATACAACATAGCCTATATTGACATTTGACAGGATTGTTATATTAATTTTCCAATATATTGATTTTAGAGTAATTTAAAAAAAATTGTCTTGTCATAAACGACAAAAACTATCACTTGCACTTTAATTGAATAAAAAAGAATAGAAAAAGACCTAAACGAATATGTAATGTTCTTGATTATGTTGGCATCAAAACTCTTTAACATTGATTTCTTTTTAATGGTCCATCCTCACATTTTTTTGAAAGAGTTCTTAAACCTACACTCATCTTTGCTGTTTACGCTAGTCTTAAAAGTTCTTAAATCAAATTTAAGACACACTTAAACATAAACACTCTCGATAGTATCGATGGTCCCATCTGCATTCTCAAATATATATGTATACTAGTAGATGACCCGGCGAACTCTGTTCCGCCTTAAAGGCAATAAATAAGCAGTTTTTTTTTAATTGGAAAAAATACAAAAAAAAAAAATACCTACATTAATCATTCATAATTTATTTGTGTATTTTAGTACACATCGCAAATTATCTATTTGTTGACCTCTGTTGTTCGCTCGACCTTCAGTCCTTAAATTTGCAGTATTTCGTATTCTTCTTGCATTACGGCTTTGTCGGGAAAGATTCGATCGTCTTGGTCGCGGCATTATTAAAAAACTAAAAACTCAAATTTTCAACCATACCATACATTAAAATTGTTAATTATTTATTTTGTTGAGTTTGCAACAACCAGGTAGTTTTATTGATTAAAAACGATATTTATTGCAACACAAACTTATATTGATCTAATACAACTTTTAAAAACACATTAACTAAGTTATATTTCTATCTGTTAAATTTTAATAAAATATTTTAATAAAGTATTAGTATTGCTGTTAAGCTAGACTTACTTTGTATAGGGACAAAGAAGCTTTATTAAATTTTAGAGGAATTTTTAGAATAACATAGCATAGCTTCTTTGTAAAAGCACCAGAATGGTCGCTTTACATATAGTAAGTAAAAAATATGCATTACAAAATGTCTCTACAAAAAGAGTAGCTTTGAAAAGAAATAAAGAATTAGCAAACCCAAAAAGTTAAACTTTCAATTCGTTGAACTTGTGTTTCCAAAATAAAGCTGTAGTTTTTAAGCTCGTTCTAATTTAAAGCACGGCAAGTGCTTTGGTTGTTGTCACTAATTAAATAAAAATAAGTGACAATAAAACCTGGAACTTGAGCATTGAAAGTTTGTGCAGCCTTGACTTCTTGTGGATAACACGATTAGTCATCGCTTCTAATTTGACAGGCACGAGTTCTAAGCCTGGCATTTGCAGTCTAAACAAATTATATACGGACTATAAACTAATTAAATAAAATTCGATTATTTCCAAAGACCACTGATGAAGAGTACTTGGCAATACTCGAAACAGCGTTGTATGGTCAGCCGAACTTCAATAAAATTAAAAATAAATTTTTGTGTTTGTACTTTATTTTTTTCTTTGCTATTCGAAAATTCCAATAAAATATTTTCTTATATCAAAAATTTGATAATTTCAAAACCTACTTTGTCGTGAACGGGATAAACAGGTATCCTATGTCCTTCTCCTGGCCTTAAACTACCTCCCTGCCAATTTTCAGCTAAATCGGTTCAGCCTATATCCTTCTCCTGGCCTTAAACTACCTCCCTGCCAATTTTCAGCTAAATCGGTTCAGCCGTTCTTGAGTTATAAGTGGTGTAACAAAAACACATCTTTCTTTTATATATATAGATGTTATATATAATGTATATCAAAAACCGTGTACTTTTATTACTGGAATTATTCTTTTATTATAATACATATGTATAATTGTTAATTTTATTTCTAGATCTGATAAGGTGTATATAACCATACAGCATATATAAGAAATTTTTTGCACAACTATTATATAGAAGACACATACTCTTCTTACTGCAGAAAAGGAACTCCTTTGTAGGATACAATAATAATAATTAAATATTTGTTAGTTCTATGAAGCCTTACTTCGAGTAACTTTAGAACCATCCAATAAAACTAATTGCATATTTTTATAAGCATCTCTGAAACTGCTCATTAAAATTAATAATTATTAATTTTAGATTTAATTATTTTATTAATTTTCAAATACTATAGACCAATAGACCAATAAAAAATTTAAATTATTTATAAACTTAAATAATATAAAATAATATGTGAGTTGTGAAGGATTCAAATACATCAGTTAACTTTAAGAAGAGTAGCAACGTCGCTATGAAACTTCTTAGAAATGCTACTTTTACCTACCGACAGAGGTCACCGTAACAATTATTGCAAAGTCTTTCTGTCATAAAATTCTGCAAGTCCCTTTTTAAAGACAGTTACGACACACTGTTTGTCTATAATTGTCTATAAGTTCAAAATAGTTTGATATGAATTTCCAACAGTTGAAAGGCGACCTTTCGAAAATCGAGGGAGAAGGGGTTTCACTAACACATGTAGTTAAAGTTGCCATACACGATATATACCGTAAATTGCATGCATTGGTGGAAACGTAAGAGAAAATAATTTGAGAAAATAAAGAAAAGTTATATTTTTATTTGAATGCCTAGATCACCTGACAAAGAGGAAGTAAAATCTAAACTTGAAATCTGCGAAAAAGACACGGGTGATCTAGTAGAGACTCTAACTGGAGTGGTGGATTGGTCGTTAGACTGGGCAGAGCATATGGTTCGGTTTTTTTTAAACAATTATTTTTTATTTATTTTAATTTTTATATATATATATATATTTTAGGATTGGATTGAAAAACAATATGCAACATTTAATGAAATGTCTTGTAGTTTGGATCAGTTACAAAACATTATAACTCCAAGTTCTCGACTTCCGTATTATGATATTGCACATGCCGTTGAGATTTTATCTACAGGTAACCTGCGTTTGCCTGGCTGTATACGTGAAAATTTTCTACCACCAAATTCTATCGGAGCATTACAAAGGAAGCAAACTTTTTCGCGTCTACACCAAATTATAAGGAATCGTCTGATTAGTGGGAAACTTTTAACACAAATGAAAAACTTTAAAGTAAAATAAGTAAGTACAAAAATGTAACAATAGATAATTTACTTTTATTACAGATTAGAAATGGATGTGTGGTTTTTACGGTCAAAGACGAATTTAAGATAACCCTAACAGTGATGGGCGATGATGCAAAGGAACCCTGGCATTTATTGAATATAGAAATATTGGTTATGCTTAGTAAAATTGGAGGTAAGTACATAAGTTATAAACTAAAAATAAATTTCTATGTGTGGTATATTGTTTCAGTTTGTAAGCCGACCGTGCACCCAATACAATTATCTTTACTTCAGCAAATTATGCGTGCACATTTAGAAGGAAATGTTGATCCTTTAAAAGATATTTACTATAGCTTGCATTACTTTTGCAAGTCGCTTCAATTGGATGATATCTATTTGCACTTAATGCGCCTTGAAAATGGTATATTATTTGAAAAAATACGGGTTGAGAAATATATACATGGCCAGAAGATAACAATTTCATATTGGCATCAATTAGCGGAAAAAGCTAATTCAAAACTTGGCTACCGATTGCAGTTAGAAACCAAGGAAACAGAACATCTTTTAGTTGTATCGCATATTCCGTCTTTTGATGCTTTAGATGAATCAATATCCATCAGTCAATCTTTATGTGTAGATAATATTTCAGTGGAACGCTTAATTCTTCAAACCATTCATATACGTTCATTTGCACGTCTAAGATATTTAAAATTGCATTTCGAACTTTTATTAAATGGAGTAGACTGTAAATGAAAATTGTATAACAAAAAAAGTTAATAATAATAAAATTTTATATGATTACAGGTGATTTGGAAGGTACACCAGCATATCTCCAAGTGCCAATTGTTTTGCGTTCTTGGCGAAATGACAACCTGTGTATAACGATTGATACATACACTGGTAGTTTGCTTTGTTATTTACCAAATTATTCCAATTGTCATATAATAAACAGCATTCAAGTAGCTCTTAATAAAGATCAACTTGGTAAACTCAATTCTCTAATATTAGAATTAATGTTAGTTTCATAATATAAATTTCAATCAACCATTATATGATACATTTTTGTTAGATTTTGGGTCACATATCAGCATTATAAAGTAATTCTGGGAAACCTTCCTGTTACTGTAACAAAAGCGTTGACTTTTTTAAATCAACCAAATCATCCACTTTTAATTCCAAAAAGGCCGAAAATATTCCTCAAGTTCCATCGACACCCTACTGTTGTACTAGTTCGTAATTTTTTTTTTCTTGGTGAAATTGAATTTAATTTCATTTATTTAGGTAGTTCAATTATCAGAAAACCAGTATATGCCGTTTGAATTGGTATATGACATTTTAATTGCTTTTATCAAATATCAAACGCATGAAAATAACTTAATACCAGAGCAACCTATAGGATTTGCCAATATTGAAAACCACCAATTCGAAACAGTAAACCTTTATGCTCATATCGAGAGCTTGATGCAGCTTGATTCAAGTTTACTAACTGATGGACTTCTCAGAAACATACAAGGTAAGGATATCACTGGTAGTTTTAACCTAATTATCGTATGTAAAAAGTAATTTACTTTTATTGTTTAGATCAAATTATCGTTCAAAAATGTGCTAAAACAAAACAATCATCACGTGCTTGTACTATACCGGAGATAGCTTATGTTGTGTCAATATGTGATGAACAAATGGCCTTTTTTTTCTTGGCAAATGAGTTCAATCTACAGAAGATACCAAATACTGGCTTTAAGTTTGACAGAAGAACTGGTTCATTTGAACTTAGCTTATTGACACTACTACTGCCCACACAACCAGAACAGACAGAACTGACGGTAATTTAGAAAAGTGAATAGCATTTGAAAAATTTATATTAATAACTTTTAATGACATTTGTAGAGTACTAATCTATTAATACCCAGTATCGAGAAACATGTGCAGGAAGATTTAAACAAACGTTTGGTATCAATTTGTATTCGTTCAAAATGGAATGAGGAATGTTATTATTGGGTAGTAGAGATCGTATTTAATAGCAATCCACTGTCAAATGTTACACAACCAGATTCGAATGCTTATCAAGTGATTCATTTATATTATAAACAAATAAGTAATGCAACTCAGACTGTAAGAGATATTCTTAAAGATTTCTCCAGAATTGTCTATCTTTATGCAATTGTTTACGATTTAGCAAAAATCATAAGAAATAGCAGTAAGATTTTAGTTTTTCTTATATATATATGTATATAAACTAATAGATTCATTATGTTTAGAACATTTCAACGTATTGAAGACAGTAATAATTTGCACATATAACTACTTAAATCTGATTATTGATTATGGACCGAAAAAAAATGTTATTTGTAACATATTTTGGTGTACAGATACAAAACGTTTTTGTTTGATTTTTACTAGTGATAACTCATCACCGAATCCACATAATATCATCCATGAAAAAATGGAAAGTTGTTTGAATGCAACGTGCAGTTTAATATACTTACTATATATACTGGATGAAACCTATAATACTTTTTATTCTGTTTCTAAATTGCTGAATATAACAACTTCAATAAAATCGGTAAGTTAAATACAAAAAATTGTTACCATATATGACTTTTTAACAGAAATTTTATATTTTCAGGAGCTAGAAACTGGTAACGCAGCTCCATCATTTGTCATAAAGCCGGAGTCTCCATTCAATATATTTTTAGTTTACCAGAAAACGTTTGGCATAGAAATATCTTTTATAAGCATTGATAAAGTTACGATACGAGGTTATGTCCACAGCGAAGATGAACTTATGCAAGGCGCTGTGTTTTCATTTTTAAAAAATTTTGAGGTAACCAAATTTTCAAATATATAAATAAAAATAATTAAAGATATTTTTTTAATTTACAGGTGTTTTTAACTAAACATATTGAAGGCGATAACATAAATTCTCCAAATAGTGAATATGACAGTTTACTATGTTATTCCCCGTTTTTGTCCTCATCTTCAGAAATAAGCGATACTAGCTCTGAATCTAACTTTGGTGACGATAAAACGCCAGAAACAAATATTCCTCTTGGTTCATGCATAACACTAACGCAAAAAGTATTTCATACAATCTGCAGCCCAAGTGTCTATTTCGATGATTACTTAACTGCATCTGGTGTAAGTTCACTTGAACGATTTCTAGGCTGTGAATATTTACGATTACAAATGCAGGATTTCGTGAAAAAAAGTAACAGCAATATAATAACATTTCTTGATTCTACTGAACCGAGCACTTTACTATTTAACCTGTCTAATTTTCAATGTGAACTAAAGTTAAATCCAGTGCATATGCAATCCCTTCATTTAAAATTATCATGCTTATCAAATACACCATCTATTGAATTAACCGATGATGATATGCTCATACTGGAACTATTCTTTGACAGGCGTGTTGCTATATCACCTTACAGTCGTAATTCTATAATCGGATTTTTTGGTCTTTTAAATAATTGTACACCAATAATGCTAAGTCACTTTGCAAAAATAATGCATTTAGATATGGATCCAAACATAAAAGATCCTGGTTGTGATTATACGATACAATTGTGTATGCAAGTTCCCCCTTCAGATACACTATATCTACCAATACCAGTAGGTAGTCCAGGTGTACAATTATTAAATAAAAGTGTCATTGCATTTTTCGTAAGTATTAAGATACACCTAATTAAATATTTAATATATAATGGCTATATTGATATATTTTTTAGATTAAAATAAATCATGCAATTTGTAATGGTAAAAGTTCGGTCGGAACTCAGACGTTAGTTTTGCCACTATGTTACAATTCAAATAATAATGCAACCAGATTACTCAAGTCATCAAAGCACAATGCTTCAAAACTTCAAATAAGGATAATGCAGTTTATAAATACTTTTTCTCTTCATGGAGAAATTCACAAAACATGTTCGATATTTCCATCAATAGCAGGTCTTCTGAGAAATCTCCACGTACTGGATGACGACTTAATGACATTTTAAGTAAGTTGAATAATTCTAATAATTTTTTTTTTTAAAATGTTGTATGTAGATTGAAATTTTGGCGCTTCTAAAATAAGTAGAACTTGCTGTTTGATTGTATCAAATTCTTTTTTAACAGTAAATGGACTATTGGCATCTTATACAACTTTAAAGGCGCATCTAACAAAAGTGGTGCTTCATAAATGGACCGGGAAGCACATTGATAGTCACAAGTAATATAGTAGTATATGATCCTGTAGTATAGTATGATCATATATAGTTATTTCAAATATAATTATAATTAATAATTTTAATAATAATATTAATTAATAATAATACTAATATTAATATTAATATTAATAATATAACTAATTTTATTAATTAGTTTTAAGGTTAAAACATTCCTACATGAGATAAATTCCCAATTAAACTCTTAATATATCAGAAAATTCTAGTTAAAAGCTTTCTAAATTTTTTCGAATTTTTTTTAGAAATAAAAATTCTGAAAACAAAAAAAAACAATTAATTTAGGTTTAAGCGTTTATAACATCACTTTAGAGACTATAAGACATATCCTTTAACACATTTTGCTGGGTTATAAAACCGTTATTTAAGTTGCTGAGACACCCATTGTCGAAAAATTCATTATCCCTCATCAATTCTCTTGAATTGATAAAATTCTGAATACTGAATATTGTATACTGAACACATTGTTGATACTGACAAGGCAAAACAGGATAGTGCTTATCTGAACAAATAACATTCGTTAAAATGAGATATCGCGTATATTGTTTACTGAACACCCTACTGTTTCCGACAATGCAAAACGGAATAGTGTCATTCTAAACAGAATCAGTTATACAATTCTGTGGAGTTTTATTGTAGAATTAATTGTTCCATGACTAATTTGGCGCTTAAGAATTTATTAAAACTTGATAATGAATTGACTCTTCAGGACCTCGCTAGAGTAAAGAGCTGATTTGTACTTATATGTAATAAAATATCGAAAATTGCCAATAATAGATAGACATAGTTATGCTTGCCGACAGTATAGCTATTTTAGTCTCTATAAATAATATAATAGATGGATTTTTGGGAGTTGTAGTTACAGGCTTTGTGACTTTCATATACGTCATAAGAAATTTACTGGGCCACGAGATCTTATTCCAATCTGAAATCATAAAATTCTGAAAAATATATATGCTGGTTTCATTAGATTTGGGTCAATTAACACAAAAAATCTATTATGGTACCATTATTTTGTGAAGTTGGCACCCTATTCTATTCTATTCTATTCTATTCTATTCTATTCTATTCTATTCTATTCTATTCTATTCTATTCTATTCTATTCTATTCTATTCTATTCTATTCTATTCTATCCTATTCTGTTCTATTCTTATCCATTCAAAACTTTATCGAATTCTGTCCATATTTATAAAACTGTTAAAATGATTCCTATGTATAGATATAAGTAGTAGTATTTGGAACAAACTCGCATCCATTTAAAATAAAACTATTTTATTTTATTTGACAATATTTTTTTCTGTCTGTTTGTTAAGCTGACGTAAATTGCCACATGTTAACTATTTTCAGATTATAAATGCCTGTTTTTCAATTTGAACGATTCTTAAGCCCATATTAACTACACAAAGCCATAGTCACAGTCACAGTCGCAGTCAAAGAAAACGCAGACTTAAAAATTGACGCCTAAAAGATAAAAACAGCTGCTTTTGTTTTTATTTTTTTAATATTTTTATTTTGATTCTCTGTTTTAACATGTCGTGCCAAAGATGCCGCCAACTTAAAAAGGGGAAAAAGTTAACAAAAAAAAAACAAAAAAAATCGCAGCTGAAAGAGTTAACTGGCGCTGCGATATTCTTCAAAACAAAAAAAAACTGCTTTTTGTTGTTGTTGTGGTGGCAGTTGTTGTATCACCATAAGGCATTAACGCCGTTTGTAATTAATTTCCGTTCATAACCCGCAAATGTAGCTAAAGTTAAGTAAACCTCAAAAAGCGATATAAAAAAAAACTCAAAAATAAATTGTATAAAGAACGAGTTCCAAAGCACGATTTTGTATGAAGTTTTTGTTACTTTTATAAGAGCAGAGTTCCAGAAAAGTGGCACAGAAAAGCTTAACAATTGGACGGCCTTAGCGATAGTGAAATGAGCTACAATTGTCTTCAATAGCAACTACAGTGGAAATTGAGAGTTTTAGAAACTTTAAAATAAAGCAACCATCGGTTTATATTTAAAATTTAATTATTAAGTTCTGATTTCTAAGGAGTTTCGAATAAATGTGATATTGACATTTATAATGGAGCAACACTGTTTTTATTAACGTACCAAGCCAGACAAAGCCTGGTCATTGTAACTAAATTTAGGCTAGATTACCGGCAATTCTAAGGGATCCATTTAGGTTCATAGACCCATTGTGTAACCGTATTTAGAAAAACTCACAGTTTTAGAACCATTCAGAGCCTTTGGCAAAGTTTATAACGCTATTCAAGAGAAGTTCTTGCAGTTGACTAAGATCCTCAAAAAAGAAAGCTCGCCCCTAACGTGACAAGGCGGCGGCATACATGTGCTGGACAGAAACAAAGCAGATGGGAAGCACTTTTATCGCCCTCTCCACAACTGCGGCACGTATGACTGAAAAGGAGATTCAATCTTTTAGCATAAATACGTAAAATGCAGTGACCTGTGAGTGACTAAATTTTAGTAGACTTTATTTTTCTCTCACTCTCAATTTTTTAATTTGCACTGAAAGCAACAACAATTTCAGTAAGGACGTGCCCATGACTTTCTGCATAACATGGCACTAATGATAACTACTTCTGTTAATTATTTGAGTTATTTTGAAATATTTAATAGCTTAATAGCTAGCTCTCTTAATTTTTTTTTATACTGTTTGTTATTATAAGTGTATATCACAGAACATACTTTCCAATTAAAGGTAGCTCATTATGGCAACATGTGTTTATTTGTAAGGCCGTTTTTAGTTAAGAAAAAAGCTTGATCTTTGTAATTTAGTATAGCAGCGCGCCGCCTGGCGGCTACGTTGGCGGCATCTTTTGTCTCACTTGATTTGTAACATTAAAGCAAAATTATATGAATGCCGACCTGACATTTTGGCCTTATAGTGCATTTTCATTGGAGAGGTTCTACGGTTACTTTGGCATCATTGACTCAAAAGATAAATATTATTACTTTACTCACAAAAAGCAAAATGATTAAATTGCTTGGTTTTTAAGGATGTGCCTGATAAAAAATTGGCAGTATAATCTATACTTTATTTTAATTATGAAAATTAATGGTTAAGCTAAGCATAATGAAACTTTTTTTGTGAAAACAAATAAAAATCACATTCAAAAGTCAATGTATATTAAAATTTTTCTGATAAAAATAAAGATCTATGATGGTATATACGTATGTTTAAATATTGTTATGTATAAAAAAATGAATAAACATATATATATGCATTTATATACATACATTTTCTGAAGAATATGTGGGGTGTTTATAATTTAAACAATGTGCAGTTGAAGTTAAAAATAATATTAGAAAAATCAATAGTATACCGCTATCAACAAGATTTATTGTATTATATTTATTTTAAAAGAGGCTATTAAATTAATTCAAAAAAATTAAGGTTATTGATAAATCTAATAATATTTTTTAGTCGAATATCTTAGACCTTATTCGCTTCGGTGAAAGCTATAGAGCCAAGCCGCACTTGAGTAAAATTAAGGATTAAAATTAGTTTTTAAAGCATTGAACAGAAAAATATTTTTAATGCTTTTCTTTACATGTACGCAACCAAACAGAGTTCTTGTATACGAATTATCAGTTTGCAAAATTAATCAAGCATAACGAGTAACAAAAACTAATGCATCGAAATTAATTCTCGAAAATGATTCAAGTGTGGCTTAGGCCATAAAGATGTACTGAACCCGATTATTGGCAATTGTTTGGCATAAGCAAAATGGGACAGTGTTTTATTCTAAAACCAGCTTTATAGTATGGCAGTTATCAAGAACATATTCAGTTAAGAAACTAATGATTAATTTGAATTTAGATTTATTAAGACTAAGAAACTTGCCAATATTTTAGTTGGTGACTCGAATGAATTGACAGAACGATAGAATGGAGAAATGAAAATTGGTTTAATAGTACCAAGACATATTGTAGTTTGGTACGTAAATAGTAAAAACCTATATATCATAAATTGTAGAAGTTATTGATTAATTTTAATAGATTAAGACTGTAAAATGTTAGATTTCTACTTTGCCTTGATTTCTCGAATGAGATTTCAACTATGGATCTTTCTCGGATCGTAGATTGGAATTTTTCAGACAATAAAAAAATGTTTAAGTATTTTTATGTAAAGTTTACTTTAACCAAATAAATTTAATACTATGTTTCCACTTAACAGATAGCGGACCACAGTTAGCTACAGCAGCACAATTAGTTTTAAATGTTTTACACTACGGCAACTCAATTATGACTATCGAAGAAAAATTGAACGCGAAAAAAAATTTCAAAAAAAAAAATTGTAAAGTTAAATTTACAAAAACAAATAAAATAAAAATAAAAGTAAGTAATTAAAAAATTTATAATAATACGCCTTTTTTTTGTAAACATATCGCAAAAGGACAAATAAAACAAGCATTACTTTCGATGGGAACGCTGGAAAGAATGGAAAATTCTGTTAGGCTTATATGTCCAAAACACGTAATAAAATTTAAGTTAAAATTTCGAAAATGAATAATAGTTCTTTGCAATTATTGCTGAAAATATTTTTTTTACATGCTTGTGAATAAAATATAATTTTTCTTGCCTTTTAACAGTAAAAAAATAAATAGAAAAGGTAACGTATTTGTTACGAACAATGACGACATGAAATACGAAAAATTGACGAAGTCATTCGTTGACAGTTAACTGGAAATTTCGTATGTACTTCTAAAACTCGTTCCCAATAGATGAAATTTTGGTCTTGGCAATCATGTGATTTGAGCTGCTTACTAGTTAAGCGATTTCCCAAACATTGGACTAAATAAGCCAGCAGTGTTGTTGTTTTATATGTTATTTTTAAAATAAGCGGTGTTCTTTTGTTATATGCTTACAAAAGAAAAGGCCTAATAAGAAAATACATTAGCTTTTTTTTTACATTTTTAAAAATTTTGTTGTATATTTCTAATGTGATTTCCCGTCACATTTTATTTGTTTCTATCCAATTTTTTTTCTAAA